TGTCTAATGAATTTCCTCTATAACCGGCAAAGGGTAAACTGGAAATTTAGTAATACTATTTTAGTTTTCTGTAATCGATAGCAAACCTCCAAGCCCTTTTATCCGAAGGAGGAAACTCGTTCTTTTTCCTACATAGTACGACTGGACTCGCGTACTCACTATTTATGGGCGTTATTATTTTATTCTTTAACATCTCCTGAATATGTTCTTCGATGATTACGTCTTTTTGTTTGTCATACCGATAAGGTTTAGTCCTACAAGGGTTTTTCGGCAGTTAACTTTGTAATCTTATGCGTAACTATTTGACAGATTCCCCCGGTTTTTCTGAAAACAAGTTAGAAAAATTACTCACCACTTGCTGGATGGCTTGCCTTTCATGGTCATTCAGATGGCTAAGGTCCACTTGCGGTGTCTCCACAGGTTCCACCACCCTCTGGTCCATTTCCAGCACCACGGAACTGTCTTGAAAATTCAATTTGGCCCTCGCGGCCCTTAAAAACTCCATACCTAAAATAAGAAGGTTTTGCAGATTTTTCACTACAAAAATTAATACTTTGAGGCTTTCCTCTTTTACCTGTATGTTTAATGATAATTTCTCGATGCAGTGACATGTTTTTCCTTGCGCCGCTATAATTTCCGTATTTTTGGTTTTAAATAATCGTACCCTATAAAATTCTTTTTGAAGAAATTTTCACACTCATAAAATTCCCTTCTGCTCCTGTATCGATGAGGGCTTCTACTGGTACATCGCCAACCAGGACTTGTATAATTGGTAGATGTGAGTTTTTTACGATGACCGTATTTAAATGTATTTTGAGGTTTTTTTTTAAAACTTCCGGGGTCTGGACCCTCCCTTTCACAGGCCCCTCTACTCGTTTAAAGCTTTCCTTTCAATCTGTGCCTTCTGGGTACGCGGATGTTTATTTTCAAATTTTCTTTTTGGGCCTTGACCTTCGAGTTTCGATGGTTAGCTTGATAGCTCTTTCCCCCATAAGAGCGATTTCCATTTCTGGTTTCCTCATTTGAAGATTTCCTTCGGGTACTTTGAGAATACGTTGCCCCTCTAGCTTTTTCCGCTATTCTGCGATTTTGAAACTTCACCACCGCCAATTCGAAGAGCTTCCTGCAATGTGCTTGGGTTTCTAATTTCGAAAGTAGTCTTGAACAGCGGGTAACAATCTTGGTAAGATTATTTCAATAATCTCCGCATCGGGTTTCTTCCCATACAGCATATCCGTCAGCTTAATTTTTCGTAGAATAAAGTCCGTCAAATTCTTCTATATCCCGTTGATAGAAACTATATAGTTCGGCTTCCAGCCTTGCTCGATCTTTCACTATGGGGAAGGCCTTTACTAACGATTTTTTGAAATTTTCAAATGTATATGTCTGGCTTCCAAATTCCCCTATTAAAAATTTGCCTATATTTTCCCACCATAGCGCGGCCTGTCCTCTTAGTGCTGATGTGGCGATGGCAACTTTTGTCTTTTCAGGAACAGGGTAGAGCTGAAAGTGGTTTTCTAGACCTTCTAGAAATACCGCCACCGAATTTTTTCCGTCGAAATGGACGTTTGGCTTGATTGACGCTCTCAAAGTCTGGACCAGGTATCCAAATCCTTCCAATTGGCTTGTCATTTCTTGGTGTTGTCCAGCGGCTTCCATCGAATTTTTCGGCCATTTCAGTTCGATAAGTGTTCGGGCGCCAATGTAGCGTTGCGCGCCTCCAACTTGCACGCAACCAAGAGGTGACTGTGTGAAAACTGGATAAAAGACAGAGTCTTTGTTAAGGGTTTAAGTCCCTTTTTATTCAACGTAATAAATTACAATTGCGTGCTCTTGACGCTCACAAACTGCGCCAACTCGGCGGTCAAATAAAAATAATAACCTGAAAAGAAACTAAAGACAAGACTCTAACTACGAGGCTCTCTAAAAGTAACTAACCTCACCGCGTTTTACAATACCGCTGCTAATTCAGCAAACTTGAAGATCACGTTGAACGATTAACAATACTTCCCGGCAAGCACACAGGCCGAAACGCGGGGTTCTTCAATTTCTGGCTAACTACCTCCGCGCTCGTGAAGTAAGAACAGCACACACCTTGAACTCGTTTCCTTTCTATTTAACTCAGAATACTTCCGCTGATAATTTGAATCCTTGCGCGTTCTACTAAAATTTACATACTCTGGCATTGGCAGTTCCAGGGGAAAAGTAAGGCTTGACAGGAAAGGTAGTTTAAACTTAAAATAAATGTTAGTTAAAATAAATATAAACCCTTCAAAAGGATAGGCAATGTTTTTAATTTGAAAAATCAATTCCGTCGACCTAAAATTAATTTTTTGTGATTTTTTATAAACACTTGCCCTATTCTTATGGTTAGAAAAAATGTTCTCGAAACAAACAAAAGAAACTAAAAGTCGGGAATCAAAATGAAAGTTTTTAATGAAAAATGGAAAATTAGATTTTTTTACGTTCTGATCAAAGACAAAGCTGTTTGCCTATTATGTTCGGATTCAGTATTCGTCTTAAAAGAATATAACAATAAGGGCATTATTAGACTAAACATGACACAAATTATAAAAACATACAAGGCCAAATGCGGGATTATAAATTGAATAAATTGAATCAAAACTTAAAATATCAGTAAAATTTATTTAAAGTTCATCGCATATGGCACTAAAGACTAGTTACACTGTTAGTCAAATTTCAGGAAAAAAAAAAAAAAAAAAGAAAAGTGAAATCATTTGCAAATGAGGAGATGATGAAAGAATGTTTAACTGCTGTTGAAGAAATAGCTTTACCTGATTAAAAAGATTTTATTTCTAAAATTAGTTTGTCAAAATTTACATCTGCAAGAAGAATTAAATACTTCTCTGAAAACGTTACTGCAACATTATGTAAACGCATTTAAAAATTTGAGTGATGTTCCTTTGTACTTGATGAGAGCTCTAGCATCAGTGTCGCATCATAACTAGCAATATTTGTCATAAGAATATATTCCAGTTTTCATCATAATTGAAGAACTGAGTTCATTGATACCAGTGACAAGAACTACAACAGGTAGAGACCTGGGAACTTATCATTTCCACAGGGAAAGATTGTCGGCATATCAACTGATATAGCAATAGCAAGCATGAATCTAGAAGTATCGGGAATGCTATTTAATATTATTAAAACTTTGTGGGAAGAAACGTATTTCTTAATCGTTAGTTCATCAGCAGCACTGTAGAGTCATTAGAATTTTTCGATGTTAAGAAACTGAAAACATCCTCAATGTCCTCCCCGAAATTCGAACTCCAGACCTCCGAGTATCGAGCGTGCTTCCAGTTACTCCAAGAAGGCATGCGTAAAGGCCAAATGTAAATATGCCAAATATCCCCGATCCTCCAATAAAACGTTTTAATTTTCTCGAATCTCGAGCATTAAATCACCGCCAATTTAAAGAATTTTTAAAAGATTTAGGAAATGTATATATAATGCAGTTTATAACACAAAAGTGCGTTGGCTGAATAAAGTTGCTATGCTAAAATTAGATGTAACTTGAAAAGTGAAATTCAGTTGTTTGTCGAAAAGAAAGAATGTCCATTTTCCTAATTCAACAATAAAGAATGGATGTGTGATTTTGCCTTCCTCATCGATTTAACTCAGCATCTGAATGATTTAATGTGGAAAAAAAAAGCCAGTTTATACATAACATGTTTGATAAAAGAAAAGCTTTCTAAAGTAAACTCAAAATATGGAACAAACACCTGTTGTCAAATGCGTAACATTTTCCATACTTGAGGAAAGAAATTCCTTCAGAAACACGAAAATACGTAAGGCAAATACAATAATTAATAGCCGAATTTGAATCTCGATTTACAATATTAAGATGTCAAAATATCGTTCTTAGTTTTGGTATTTAAGAATTAATAACCGAATTTGAATCGCGATTTAAAATATTTAGATGGCAAAAAATCGTTCTTAGTTTTGGTACTTTTTCATTGTCATTAAATATAGACGAGGAAACAGTTTCAGCTGAGTTACAAACGGAAAAGATTGATTTACAAAACAACACTGATTTGAGAATAAATTTCAGAATGTGAACATAGAAAAGTTTTATCAAAAATACATAATTTTCGAAATGTTTCCATTATTAGTCAAGAATGCAAGGCAACTCATGACGCCTTTTGGAAGTGCTTATTACTTTCAGTAATTATTTTCCGCAATGAAAATAATTAAAAGCGGCTACCGTTTCGGGTTAAATAATGTGCGATTGGAAAGGTGCGCGAGTTACTGTTGTCGTTAGTTCCTGAAAATATGGACCAATTAGTTGCGAGTAAGCAAAGCTAATAGTCTCATTAAAATTTGTTTAAGGAATTTTTCTCATAATAATTATCTTTTGCTGTTTTTATAGTATTTCTATTACCTATTTTATTAATCTTATTTCTATAGAATTATTATCTTCGTTGATTTTAGAAAGTGCCTAAGTTTTCTGATTTTAGTAATTTCGAACATACCTGAAAACTTTCACTACATAGAAGAATAACATTTATTTAATGGTACTAAATTTGATTCCTGTATACATATAAATTGGAACATTAAAAAATCTGAAACTAAGGAATCTTAGATGCTATAGTTAATTTTTCCGGCTAAACAGCACAAAAATGTGGAATCTGAGTGTCCGATGTAATTAAGTTAAGGTAACGTAATTAAACTCTTTGTTTTGTTCATTAATTAAATCACACGAAAATTTAACAACTGAAGTTCATAACCAAATTGTGAAAAATAATAATATTGAATTAAAAAAGGTGGCATGAATTAAACAATAAGCATTTATGCCACTTTTACATCAAATTAAACTTTTTTAAAATTTTAAATTTACATATTATTATTGTCTTTATTGGCATTTTAAGCCTTCATTCTAAGAGATCAAGTAAAATATTCCAGAATAAAAGCATAATCCTCAATAAACGAGAACTTTTCTTTTTAGTTAATGAAAAAATATGAATCATAATTTTCTTTACCTGATCTTTCCGCTCCCCAACCAGCGACAGTAGTTCCAAATCCTCCTAAATCTCTCATATTTGTATCAGGTAGGCAAATTTGGGTGACGTTTGGTAGGTCTACCGCTCTAGACAGTGTCAGCAGGGCAATATCGTCATAATAGAATCCGGGCCTATATCCCTCGTGAACAAGTATTCTATCGACATCGTATGTTTCACCTTCAGTGATATTCACATGGCCAATTCTTGTCGAATATAGGTTTGGCCTGAGTGACACAAAGTTTATTAAGTAATTATAATAAAAATAAATCCTCTTATTTATTCGTTCTATATTAGATATTATCGATCTTAAGTAAGTGTTTTAGAGATCGTTAGACTTTTTAGGATCTGGTAATGTAAAATATCAAAGGTGAACTTCGTATCACCAATGCTCTAGTTTCTAGCTGAACGTGCTAACCAGTTACGTCTCAAAAGCGCATACGGCATAGGGGAATGCTATAACGCTTATATTCTCCATCTCCACTTAATATGTTACTGGGGAGAAGCACGAGATCCAGCCGAACAAATTCAGGTAGTGACGAATTATCATTCATCATATTGTTACAAATTTTATATTATGTGTCATGAACGCACTCTAGAAGGAACAAAGCTTTGAAAGGCAAAGAAAAATAAAAATGCAAAGGCGTTGAGGTAATGTGACGTTGAAGTAAATGTCTATACGTCATTATTGAGGTAAACATGTGACGTTAAGATAAGTGTCAACGTCCTATGTGACGTTGAGGTAAATGTCTGTCTCGATAAATTGGCGCGATATCGCCAAGTTGGTGATTGTTTTTGAGATTAATTTTTTTTAGAGTCGCCAAATTTGGTGAGAAATCGCCAAAAGACGTCAGACATGGCTACCATTTGTCGACATTTTGATCTTGCTTCTGCAAAACATTTATTGATACTGTAACTGATCAATAAATGTAACTTTAACCGTATCCGGTCATAACATGTAACTTCAACTAATCATATGCCTTCAAGTAATTTCAAGAAATAGTACTAGAAGTAGAGATTTCTTGGCGGCCGCGAAAAAATTACATAAGACAGGAGAGAGCATCAGTTTTCAGTAGACTTCGGAGTATTGGAAGATCTCCGTGCGAGCTTCGCTCTTTAAGAGCGCTTTGCATTACGATGTGTTTAACTTTCTTAGCAGTTTAAAGTAACTACTTCTTGTGGTCTGTCACACTCAGAAGATCTGTGGAAAGTTGCAGAACTATAAAGAGTTTCTTTTGTGAAAATACATTTTATCAAGCTGTCATCAGTTTTGTGTGCGTGCAATCTATTACCAAACTATACGCACGAACAATATTTTAATTTGGACTTTTTAGAGACCAGGAAACATAAAAAATCACTGTGCTATCCGAGATTGATGCTTCAGTTTGCTATCTGGTTGTGTAAACCGCTTACACAACGATAACATGCACGAATAATGAACATTCCTTATAGTTTTACATTATCTGAGTAAACATTATTAGAGTAGTTGTAGAGACATTAGGTATTTTTTGGAAGCAGGCAAAATGAAAAATATGCAATGCCTTCGCCAGGAATCGAACCCCGGACCTCTCAATTACGCGCTGAGCGTACAGACCATTACACCACGAAGGCTCACTAAGAAGGCGGAAGAAATACCTTATACTATACTGAATTAAGTAAGTATTAGAGTAGTGAGTAAAAGTTATTAGAGAATGCTGGACTTGTTACAAATTAGAATTTAACGGCAATTAAGTTACTTAAAACTGGCTTGATTGAAAGCTGAAAAAAATCTCTAGTAAAGTTTTATACATCTAGATTAAATGGAACCATGGTAAAGAAATTTTATACAAGAGATTTAATAATGTCTTTTTTGTAGCTTATATTTTCACATTTTGTAGTATTTTTGTTTAAACGCTTACAGTTAGAAATGTTCTAATGATCCTAGCTAATATAACCAAGCATAATCCAGAACATTTTTATTAATTTTCCTGTCATCTGTGTAATTATGCTTAAAAATTAGTTCCTAAGTTTTTTTTATCTACGGTACCTTCCTTAGACCGATTTTTTTTTTTAAATCAAAATACATGAATGCTATATTTCTTCGGGATGCATGGTGGGATATCATAATCTTATTTGCTGTAATTGCTTTTTCTGATTATCAAATTTTGATGTATAATTGTCCTTAACAAAGTGTTTCCAACATTTTTCGACTAGTACTTTGTGAAGTTGATTCCAATTAAGCTTACATTAGTTCTTTCCATTACGCCTCTTTTTAACATATTCATGCTTCCATAAATGTCCATTCGTCACGTTCGTTCGTTACGTCCATGCTCACAGAGAGTTATCAAAACTTTATGGCGAATAACGTAGGATTAAAATGAGAAGAAGAATCGTAACCGGCATCGTAGTAGAAACTTGCGTACTAGAAAAATACTCTGATCAGGACAGAAGCGAACGCTTGACATCGGCACAGCTGGTAAGTGTAGCAGATTAGTTGAGCTTTGTCTGAACGACCGCGTTACTATTGTAACTTCGTTTAGATTTACTAGTACCTTTAAGTTAATTCCGACCCCCACTATAAAGATCAAAGTACTGTGAAAGTTCCAGCAAGCTCTATTGTCAAGACTTTAATTTGTGTTGCATTATCTTTGAGTTTTGCTCACTAAATGGGAGGAAATAAAGTTTGAGTTAAATTTTACATTTTGTACTGTGCCCACAGCCCAGTTGAATGAGGGGTGGACCCTGACGTACTGTGTCCACAGTCGAAAGCAAGCAAAGATGATAGTTCATCGACTCACTGAGGTCGTATAAGGGTGAGTGGAGCAGAAATAATTATTTAGGTAGTTAGCCAACCTTAAAGGTTATAACTTTACATCCCCCCATGTATACACACATAATCATTTGCCTTAGAGATTGTTAACTAGGTTCAGAATATAAGGTCCTTAATTTATCTTCCACGTGTGTCACACATAGTCAGTTTTCAGAGTGCTACCATTTAGCAAAATATAAAACCTAAAATTTATTCTTCAAAATTAACCGATCTGTAGTTGCCTGACAAACTAAACGATTTAAAAGCAATAGACGCACTCCTTAGTAATTTATATCTTTTATTTTATAAGGTACTTAATTAATATAAATCAAAATACATTTAATTCATAACATATTTAACTAATAATTTTTCTGAATATTTGCTGCATTATTATAATTAATAAAAGAAGTTTCTAACGCCACTTTTTATGTAAATGGTAAAAAATTGTTTGAATTTTTCTAATATTCTATTCCACGTTCATGAACAACGAAGACAATCTCAGTTATCTGTTTTTAACAGCTTCATAATGCTTAGCTTAACTATTTTTATTTGCATTCTGTTTTAAATATTTGAATAAATATTTGCATTCATTCTTTCTTTAACTAATAAAACAAAGACTGTAATTTGAAAAACGCATCTCAGATGTCTTTGAACAATGCTCCATCATAAAGATGCTGACATCTTTGTGGAAGTCGACCACTGTTCGGCGGGGGACAAAATTTCGAAAAAGTACCCCGGCATAAAGATTCTGAAAAAGAGCAACTGACATAAGTGCGGGCAGTCGTTATGGCGACGCAGCACTATGCATTTTCATTTTCTTTGATAGTCAGTACGGCAAACTAAAACCTAACTTACATAAAGGTTATTGCGATTGGCATAATTACACCCGCCGAGCGTCGTGTATTGATATTGATAGGACTGGGGCTAAGTATTTTGCTGCTCAAGAGCAATGTATGTTATCTCACTAAATTCTAAAAATTCTGTCACACTTAAATTCTGCTACTGAGTACTTTCTCTAAATTCCAAAAGTTCTGCTCTTCTTAAATTTTGGTGCACATTACTTCCTTAAATTCTAAAACGTTTGCAGGCCCTAAATTCTGCCGCCCGGTGCGAGCGCACCGTTTGCACTGAGTGTCGGCCCCGACTAACATCACATTACGAAATGCTATGTTTCAGCTATTTTATTGTAGATCGTCATGTAACTTCGCTGTTGGTAGACATATTTAGAAAATATCTGTTTATAAGTTTTCATATAATTAAATTGTGCTCTTTTTATAGTTAAACTTGGGACTTGGTGCCACAAAATTAATGAATTTACCGATATTCCAACTTTTTTCTAAAAATCTATCTTAATGCCCTTACTACACTGAGAAGAAAATGGTATAAAAAGACTTTTAACAGTTTTTTGACAGCCCTTTAAAAGCCACACCCTACTTAATGTTTATTTTTTTAACTTCTTAATTCAGTTATTTATTAAAAATCGGTGTAGAAGAAGAGGATCTTAACTAAATGTGACTACATCTATCAGCGGACTCTGTTTAGAGTTCCAAATTATGCAATTAGTCAGTTTATATATAGATAAACTGACTAATTTTACATACTAAATGTAGTTCAAAAAGTATTATTTATATACTAAATGCAGTTTATATACTAAATGAAGTTCCAGCTTAGAAAATATTTCTGTGTGAACTGCTAATCAATTTTGTTGTACTTCTTAAGAAACAGAAATTATTTGTGATAGACATAAACAGAAAGACGTGGCATCACCTAAATTGAAAGTAATCATGTTCCTCAGTTAGCGTTATTGAAAATTGTTCTGAAACAAACACTCCAGCACAATTTTCAATACAATTTCAACACAATTTTTAAAAAAATTCAAAATGTAAATTTAATATGATATATTAAGATTTAATATTTAAAAAATTAAAATTTCAAAATTTCAGCAAAATACCCCTGAATTAATTAAAAATGAAATTTTTATAGAAGAGCAAATGGATAAAAGAAGAGAAGAAATCACGTATGCTGCTGGGCAGATTTAAATAAAAAGTTTTATGTCTTTTCAAATTTTACTTTTTAAAAAAACCAATAAAACGACAAATTAATATTATTAGTATTGATTCTAAATATCTTTGAAAATTTAGTATAATTAATTCATCTATTAAAATTGTTTTGAATATGTTTTAAAAAATAAAAACAAGTAAAGAACCATTCTACTTGCCTTTTATTATTTTTCTTGTAATATTTTCGGTCATATAAAATTTTTCAAATAAAAGCTTGTAATTTATATTTATATTCACCAATCGATGAATAATATATTTCGTTTTAGAAGTATTTATATAAAAATTCAGTAAGAAAAGTATTTAAGAATTTTGAAATGATTTAATGACCATTTAGAAGAGCTTACGTTCTTTAAATTGCGTTTTCTCAGTTTGCACGTTTTCGGTAAATCCTTTACTTAAGTAGCGAAATTTGAATAGATATGGATGAAATTATTTAATACTTTTACTGCTTGTTTAAAATTATATACTTAATAGAAACAAAAAATGGGGTTTGCAAAATATTGAAAAGTAACTGAAATCATATTTTTTCATATAAATAAAGCTTTTACATATAAATATCCTTTTCTATTTTTTCTCAAAAACTAATTCATTAATTGCAAAATTTATCATTAAGTTATTAAGAATAATCTAATAAATATAATAAAAGAAGTGACGTAAAACATTGAAAATTCTAGGAGAAGAAAGCTATCTTAATTGTTACATTTTTCTTAATTTAAAAAATTGCCGGCAAAAGGAAATTGAGCATCCTAAACAGCTAATTTCATCAGTTTTGGCGTAATGAACTGTCTACATGCCTACCTCTTACAGCTAGTCTGTTGGCTTTCAATGAATATGATTCCAACAAACAACATTCCTTTGCAGTCGTTACTGTAAATTATTTTACACGGTTGTGAATTAAAAATAATTTTTAACGACTGGAAAATTGAGAAAAATAGTTAAATTTACAAAATTGTATATTAAACATAAATTTTTGTAGAAATATGGAAAATATATATTTATGCCAACTGTTATATTAAAGTAAGTGAGAACATGAAATAAGTATCGAATAATTTTCTCATAATGTTATGGTAACACGTTCAGTTAATATCTTAAAGATCGCTGATCGAATCCTGGTGAGGGTGAATTTAATTTTTCACGTTTCTCTCTCACTAGTGTCTCTAGAGTGCGGCCCAAATTAAAAATATCGTGCACAGCAACTCGTTGCGATGTACATTTAGTCTGCTAGATCTCATGCCTTTTCCTAATTGGTTTTAAAGTGAGGGAGAATATAAGAAATTATGGCATTTTCCCAAACGTGCTTTCATGCTGATTAGCACATCCAGCTAGTAACTGGAAAATCAGTGGCTCAAATCCCAGCAAGCATATAGGTGAGTTATCTTGTTGTACAACTTCTAAAAATGTAATATCTCTACAAACATACTTCACATTGTCAACATTTTTATCTAAAACTCACTTCGATCTTTAGAAAATTAAAGTTCAAAGATATAATTTTGAATACACTTACTGATTTCTGTCAAAACAATGAGCAGCTGATAGGACATGAGTTCTGTCAATTAGAAAACCAGTACACCAGGGAGATTGACGGTTCTGTCTATCTCGCATAGTTATAGCAACCTGAAAACGAGTAAAATATTTAATCCTGAGAAATGTATTACTCTAATTAAAACAGTAATTGTTATAATTTCTTTATTTATAAACAAAGATATTTTAATAATAAATTGACTGATTCATTTTTATGTGTTTTTTATGGACTGGAATGGCAGAGAAATTTATAAGATTTTAAGTTCAAGATATTATGCATTTGCTGAAGATACAATAAAATCGATATGTAATAAAAATGCATAAGATTACACCCGACGTTTCAGGTTAGTTAATTTATTCTGAAAGGCTAAATCAGTCCGTACAACTCTTTAATAGACCATTTATTGCTGCTGATTGTACTGGTTCAATATCCACCGCAAACAGATATAAGATATCGAAAGTTCATATAGATATTACAAGTAATTCATACAGATATTACAAGTTCATATAGATATTACAAGTAATTCATTTAGATATTACAAGCTCATATAGATATTACAAGTAATTCATATAGATATTACAAGTTCATGTATATATTACAAGCCATGCATTCTAAGCAGTAATCCTCTTTCTCCTGGATTAGGATGTCCTGGGTATAGTGCTTCGATCATGAACGGTGATTTACTGTATCGTGAAATGTAGTCATTATGATCACATGAGAATAGATTCAATTTGGCCAAAATAAACTATTATGCTTAAACCACAAGAGGAGTGAAAGCGCATTTTACTTTTCGAAAGATATGCTTTAAGCCTTATTATTGATTTTTGGTACTTGTGCAAACTGAAAATTAAAATTTTATAGTTTCATTAATTTGAAGAATTTTCATTAATTCTGGTTTGAAATAAAAAAATCTTAAAAGGAAATTTAGGAACCTTTTACTATAACATAATACATTATTTTAGATTTCTTAAGTTCCCTTTCTCTCAGAGAAATTAGAAAACCTTTCTCATAAGTTAGCTATAAATTATTCCTTTGCTTTTTCTTAGTATTAAAAATAGTTTAAAGTTAGCGCGAGAGATAGGTTAAAACCACCTACCAGGCCTCGGGATACAAATTTCACCAATTTGGCAGCAATCATGAAATTTCCAGGAAACATGTTTCGAGATTTTAAAGAAAACATTTTCTAGAAAGATCTGGTAGTGCTTGCCTGCTTGCCTCCCTTCTCTTAGGCAGAGCACCGCCAGACCTTTTTTTAATTTTTAAAACCAGAGAATATTTAATTATACTAATGCTTACTAATGATATAAATAGGAAACTGGGAAGAGCCATGAATTGTTTGGAGTTAAGATTCGGTCTTTTGTAGACTGATCTGATTTATTACTTAGTTTTTGTTCAGTGATTTTTGTCTTTACTCGTTAAGCAAATTTATAATTTGCGATATTTAATTATCTTATATCTCTATTTTCCTTGAACTATTTGTAGCATTTTATCTTTGCGCGAAAGCTTGTTCTTTTTAAAGTTTCAAATTTCGTTTTCCATCTCATCTAATTATTTAAGGAGGTCTTCATCAGCAAGTAATTGCAAACATTTCCCCCTATAATAAAAAAGAAAAAAATCCGTATATTACCATCCATGGCCAGTCGCCTTGATTAGCAAATTCTCCACCCATAACATAGGGCGAATAGAGGCGGGCTGTTGGAGATATTCCACAATCTAAGAAATAATAGCACATTTCAAAATCTAGGAGACATTAAGGAAATTATGTATTCATTTACTTTTAAGCAAATACTTTTTTTCAAGCAACTGAAAGTTCTAAGAAAAAAATTTTAAGTAATTTAATATACAAATGAATATGAAATAATTTACTATGTAAAACATATGATGTCCTGATACTTAAATCACAAAGGCTTTGTTATTTTATATGATGTAAAAACTCGTGCGTATGTGCATTTCCGAACTTTTGTAAAACACCCCACGATTTTAAGTGAAGATTAGAAAGGATTTTTAAATCGAACAGAAAATGAATTGAATGTAATTTTATATCATTGGATAGATCTGAAGATCCCGAAAGTAAGGTGACATCACCTAGTTTGCCTCAGTGCTGATTAATTTTGTCACAGGGCTAATTTAAAAGAAGTTTTTCTACTTTCAGGGGCACTGAGATTTCTTTGTTTATTATTCTAGGAGCCCTAAAAAAAGATGTAAAATAAAATATGTGAAAAAGATTTTAAATTCAACAGTTTTAGCTAAAAACAATAAACAAGAAAAATAGTTTTTCAGTTATCATAATATTCTTGGTCTTACTTGATTAAAAATAAAAACTTCTGAATTTCATGCGAGAAATGCATTGGAATATTGACTTTTTAATTTTAAGGAAGAATAAAAGTCGTAGCATAGAAACGACATATTCATAACTTACCTATAAATTTGGCTTATTTTAGTATCATAACGTTTGTTTAATAAGTGAAAAGATTTAAGACTAATTTTGTATATAATAAATTTTAATCAAGTATTTATTTATTTGTCTTGATATATGAACTTGAATTTAGATGTCACAGAAGGAGAACGAACATGCATTAAATCAGTAGCTTTATTAGCTGATATTCTTTTTTAACTCGCTGGTATAAACCTTACTCAAATTGAAAAGAATAACTAAATTTACTTTAGGCACAACTTTCGATCCACCTCCAAAATTTTAGAGGTTTAAATGAATCAGTGAATAAAGAAATCATTCAAATGAGTGCATAAGGAAGAAAACGCATTTAAGAAAAAAATAAAACTTACGACTGTGCTGGTATTACCCATACCTTTATTTTAGAAACAAATCGAATATGAAAAAAATTTCATCAAACTTACTTGAGTTTGATACTGGGCCAGTTCTTATTGTATTTGGGATCGGGTCTGGTGGTGCTGATAATGGACGTCGTGGTACCTCTTGTGGCGTCGATGGGCGTTGGCGTCTATTTGTACGTCTCAGTGGTCTTTGATTTGGACAGCAGACCATACGCCTTCTCCTTTCTCCCCTTGTGAAACCGCAAGTTTGCACATCTTGCCTCCAATTTGAAGATGCTCTAAGAGCAGGGCAAGCAGCCAAAGTCCGACACTGACTGTTTGAACCACAAAGGTCAGAGCTAGGTTCATCAGATCGTCGTACTTCACCGGGAAATCGAATTCCTATATTAGAAAAAGAAATGAAATATATTATATAAAACAAAATTATGTGAAACTACACTGTACCCAGGTTTAGGGCAAGGTTTACTATAATTAAATTTTCCATTCTTATAAATAAGCAAATAGTCTAAACGTGTTTGTTATGAGTGCTAAAACATCGGCTGTTTTACGTTAGTAAGAAAATTTATTTAATGAGTAAAATATTTCCATTGAACCATGTTGCGAAAGAGAAATTAATACAAGCACCATAGCAAGCACCTCGATGTATGAAAAATTTATTCTTACCAAGATCTGAGGATAATAAATTTGCATATAATCTGCTCTCGGTAAGCCTTTCTTTGCAGCATTCATCCGGTAATATTTCTAAGCATAAGTTAGATACACGTTAAATGTCTTGAGGAATATTTAACCGCATTTCTTGAAGTATTGTTTTCATATATTTTGCTCTATGCCTCCGTCTTCTTATCTTTTTCTTCAAAGCACTCCATGGGCTCTTGCTTGGATGAGGTAAGAAGAATTTCATATATTATAAATGATAGTTCTGAAATAAACTTACGACGAAATATAGTAGCCTATTTATCAACAACATCAGTTGACTTCTTTATGCAATAAACTTGTTCATCTCTGAATTATGATAGTTTTATATTTATAGAAACAGGATAGCTTCGTGGATGTTTTTGTAGTTTGTACCACGTGTAACGCAAAACGAAGCCGTTTTTATTGAAATAGTTTTCGAAAGCAACTCTCTGTCAAGAGTAAAGCATAGATGGCATTGAGTGAGTTAATGTTTTTGTAATTTCTGAACTAAAGTTATTTTACTCTTGTAGCTTCATTTTTTAAAGCTGATTTTTCATGAAACGCTATGTTTTCTAATTTGGACCCCCACCGTGGCCAAGAGATTAAAACCGCCAAATACTAGTAGTTCAACCCGAATTCGAATCTAGGGAACAACTTACTGTTTTCCCCATATGTAATGTTTTCTTTAAAAATCCTCCACGAAGGCATTCTCCCTCTTTAGGCTAGATAGTCTTCGTTACCGTGCTGTATTCAAATCCAACTAACTCACTTGAAGGGAAATGGAATTCCAAATTACCTTTAATTTGTTTCAAATATATTTAATTTAACTTAAATCAGGAGACCAGGGAAATGTTTTTTCGCTTCCTGGCAACTGTACAACAACCAAAAATGCACGCTTAAAACGATATCCGTAGTGTCGTTGTCTCGATATGATGCTAAATTATAGTTGATTCCTAGTTCTGTGCTGAAGCCTTCAACATCTATTTTAAAATATTCACATGTTTTACGTGATCCATTTCAGTATCAACGAAACCTTAATTAGATAGTCCTGCTGCTGACATGTAACCATGTATCAGTACATCATCGTCACCATGCTTTGCTTTACATACCAAATTCTCTAGATTTAGTTAATTTTTTTTTCCCTACATAAGAATATGACTTATTAGTAAGTCAAAGTAGCAAAATGTATTAAACTTATTCTCATCTGCAAAGATGACTTGATCTTCAGCGGAATAAACTTTTATTTATCATTAATTTTGTAAATAAAAACATGAGTTGTTTAGTTTTCTAAGTAAGAAAACTTAGAAATTTTTTTTTAGCTGATTGACTGCAGCATGCGACTAATCTAACAATTATTCTGACTGCTATACTAAATGTTTCCTTAAACTCTGCAGAATGTTTTCTGGCAATTAAATACAGATTTCCTAAAAATTTTTCAACTATAAAAATGTTGGTCTTGCAAAGTAAGCTTTGGCATATATCTGCTTCTTTTCCTATTTAGAATTCAGTTTCCTTCTTTGAATACTTTTACAAAATTTAAACCAGTAGAAAATGGCAAATTTTTATAATAATATCCATAAACGACCTATCATTTTTAAAATGAAAAATAACTAATTTTTAATTTCTTCCAACGTTTCTTTAGGATACCATGGCATGATGTCACAGAGCCCACTCAGTGAAAATTGTTTGCAAAAAGAATTTTTGCACGGAAATGAACAAATATTTAAAAATTACAGTTGAAGTAACCCATTATTTTTACTGCAGAATCTAAGGGTTCTTAACATTTTAGTATGTCGATTTAATTTGAAATGTCATATTATTATTCTACTAAAAATTTAACCAACTGTTAGGCAGCAGTATATTTATTTTATACCGTCAATTGTAACTTCTCGTGTTAGTAAAAACGCGAAACAATGTGTAATCATTATTAGGTTAAATTTATGCTTAAAATCATTTAAAGACAAAAGCAAAATTGAAGTAAGAATGAAAAAGAATTTGAAAGCTTCCAGATTTTATATTACTTACAAAGGGACTTTTTTCTTTTACGTTTTGTGTGTTTTATTTATTATATCATGTTCTTCGCACTTAAACCGCATGAAATTCAATTCAACAAAAATATCATAAAATATTTAAAAACAGCACACCTTTAGAATTTCCGATAGACAGTCTCTGGCACTGGAGATAAAAATGTTTTTTTCCCTCCTGTACAGTGTTGCCACTGCTCGCTAAGAAAACATTTTTCTTAATCAAAAGCTCGTTAATGTTTTACAAAATGTGAAATAGATAATAAAATAAATTCGAAATTCAAAATTTGGGCTTCCAGGTGCCTATGTTTGGGTGGGGGATTACATTATTCAAAATTTGTCTAGGTAACGTTGCTTTTTCAAAATGTGAGAAACATACCTACATTCGTGCACATTCTACTTTATTTAATTTCCTTGAAAATAGTATATGGCGATAATATTTGGTGGAAACATTTTGAAAAGTGAGTACAGTCTTTTACAGTGATTCAACGCAAAATCCCGTTTAGAAAATAATTAGCCCTTTTTTTAGCAAAAATATATAGTCTTTATCTATAGCATTAAATATTAAGCATGAGTGAAAATATTAGCGTTACGTTTGATATTTAAAACGCATCTTCTTGCTGAGCAAAATTACGCATGTTTAAGTTATTTACTCACATAATTTTTCTTGTAAGCCCTTGAGTAAAGAAAATACACATCTAAAAATACAATCTATATTGTAAAATATTTAAGTTTTTTCCCTCTATGGATATTGTTTAAAACTTGCCTTGAAGAACGCAGCATAACATTACCCATTCTCTTTAAAGATGAATAATTAAAATAAAAACTGTTAGCTTACTTTGAGAGTAGGCCAGTTGAAAGAGAAACAAAAATAAAGAGCATAATGAGAACAACATCTTATGTTAATATTTTTATTTTGTTCTGCTGTAAAGACTAATGATTCAGCAATGAAGAGATTTATGACTTTAAACCACACTGAATGCGAAAAGAGGAACTGAGCGACGCTAAGGCAAGTCGCGCCGGATTTCCTATACTATAGGAAATTTCATGATTGCGAATTTTTGTTGCATCCTCTTTCCAAGGTAGAACTTCCATTTATGCAAAAGTGAAAACGCATTGCTTAGTATAATGATCAATGAAGCACACTTTTCCTGCAATGAAATGCGCAATTTTACAATTTCGACATATCTAGGAAAGGTTCGAAATACTCTTTCTGAAGGAAAAATTATTTTCTTTTTTAAAAACAAATTTGAGCGTGTGTGGGAACATAATTATCTCTGCATATTACAAATAATTTTCAAAAATAAAAAATTATTTAAATTTATATGCAGTATATATGAAAACTTTTATTAACGAAAAATTATTGGAGCTGGGTCGAAAGAGGATTAGGTTAAAATTTACGACTGTAAAGCGCTTGGGTTTCCTGTACTGGGAAGGTATCTTTCGCACTTTAATGGAGGATTTTCCGAGCAAGCTGATTTATACTTAAATTAAACACAGGAAAGTCATGGAGAATCAACATGGTATGAAACGGTTTGCTCAAAGTGTCTAGATATTCCGTCGTTAACGGAAACTGCAAGAAGCTGGGATTCCCAGTTCAAGTCAAACTGAAATTTTATTAATTTTTTTAAAGAAAAACTTTGGTTTAAAATTCACTCATAAATTTAGATTATCGTATGGAATAGGTTTGCTTTATACTGATTTTAGAATTTTATTGAATTCCGATATATTTATACTGTCATTATAAAACATTAAACATATCATATTTCAGCGCTAATAGACACGTATATGCAGTGCCGGCATTATGGTTGCTGGTGCTCTGTGGAAGTTGAACTTTGTCACCCTTTTTCAGTATAATTATCAAAAGTTCAAATTATATTAAAAAATATATAGAAATGAGTTATTATCTTAGTTGTTTTTAAACATACAATGAACAGTGTTTTTTTTTTTTTTTTTTTTTTTTTTTTTCAACCACTATTTGCACAATATGAAAAATTGTCCGACTTAATGCCCTTTTTTCTAGCCTTTAGATTAAAGAATCTTTTCTGCACTTTCTACATCTATTTTCTTTGCAATAACATTTTCTGTAGACAAAACTGTCGAAGTAAAAATGCTTGCGCCAAACCAAAGTGGCACAAGTCCCATTGCAAATGTATTGGAGATGCAGTGGGATAAAGATGAACATATGTTAGGCATCGCAGTGTGACTAATTTCAGAGATCTTTGTGTAGAAAAAGTTGCGAAGAAAATTATACTTTATGCTGCTCATCAAATCTTCGATCCGATTGATGTGACTTGTCCTGTTGCATTGTTCCCGAAATCATTATTGCAGAGAACTTGGGAGATGAAGTTGAATTGGGAGGAAGAGGTTGATTCTGAAACTAAAGCAGAAATTCTGAAGTGGATGAGATATATTTTCATTTAGAAAAGGTGCGCATTCCTCGCTATTTGAAAATCGATGATGACAACGAAAAATATTCTTTACATTTCTTCTGTGACACAAGCATGTATGCCTATGAGGCAGAAGCCTTTTTTCGAGTTGAAAACTATTTTCCCCAACTGGAAAGAAAAAAAACAGCTATCGATAGGCTAAAGTTATTAGCAGTCACAATTGCTTCTCGCCTTGCCTGTACAATTGTACTTGAAATTCCACATGAAGAAGTTTATTTTGGGAGGGATTCCACTACTGTTCTTACTTGGATTAAAAAAGAAGCATGAGGAACCTTTGTTCAAAATCGAATATCTGAAATCAGGATTCTGACTTTCAAGGGTAAAATGGAGACATGTGCCAGGAACATTAAACTCTGCTGATCTTCTAAGCAGAAGCTGTTCCGAGAAAAAGAAAATTATACGGTCAAAATGGTGGGATGGCACTGATTTGTTATATTTATCTACTGAGAAATGGCCTTGTTCAGAATTTGTTGTAATGAGGATGAAGTTCTTAGGGATGAAAACTGCTGTTTCAATCTTCAACAAGCTGATTGACTACTCAGATAAAAAAGTCTAGATACTAACTGGTGCTATCGTTACTTTTTACAGTATGAAGAAATACGCATTATTAGCTGTATTTGTACGCATTATTAGCTGGATTTTGAGATTTCTGGTAAGCTGTAAAAAATCGAAAGAATTGAGAAAACAAGGAAGTATAGATGCAGAAGAATTATCATAAGTCGAGAAAAGAGAAATAAAGATCATTCAAAGAAAAGCATTCATATCTGAAACTAATCTCAAAATTGCTTCTCTTAGACACTTTTATTACCTTTCAAATCCTTATTTATGAAGTATTTGTGCCCTAATACAAGCAAGTGCCTCACTCGCTCAAAAACTGTGCGGCTCTGTGTTATGCAGATCCATCTAGATTATATTCACAATTTTTTAAAAGTATGCATTGTAAACTATCATATCTTCGTATTAGTTAAATCAAAGCTAAGAAAACTGGAATCATATAAAAAAAGAAATTAATTTCGGATAATGTAGAAATAACAAATAAGCCGCTTAACTAGAGTTTTGGGTATCTTATTTTGGGTAACTGGAACACTTCTTTGTTTTCATACATATGTTAAACGAGAAGAATAACAAGAAAGCATGTATCTCATGTTACCTCATTTTCTTCGTCTTTACCGTAAAACATTATAAGGTATTTCTCCCGCCTTTCCTGCATACTTTCGTAGTTACGGTCAGCCCGCTTTTCGCGTATTTGAGAGGTCCGGCATGGGCACTGCTCATTTTTATGTCTTCTGCTTAAAAAAAAAAAAAAAAAAACTAATGGCTCTACAGTGGCGCCCGAACTAAAAAAACGATGATTCCCCACCACCAGGATTTGGCGACTGATTCCCCTAACCCCAGTCACCGTATAAAAGGAGAAGTATATAAGATATTTCTCCTCCCTTTTTAGCATGCCTTTGCGGTGTTATGGTCAGCATGCTCGGCGTGTATTTCGAGAGGTCCGAGGTTCGATTCACAGCGATTGCATTGCTCTTTTTTCATGTCTTCTGCTTCAAAAAAAAAAAAAAAAACCTAATGTCTCTACAAAATATTTTCCGAATTCTCATCTTTAACTCTGATCATATTAAAATAATTCCAATTAACCAAGTTAAGAAAATTTTCCATTTTAATTCCATATTTGCAGAAATTTTGGATAGTGAAAAATCCTCTTTGATCTTCCCGCGCTTCTAAAAAGTTCATGCTTCTCTGATATTTTTCTTGACGATAATTGTTCTATTCTTAATGTATTTTTAATGATATTTTTCAAATTTCGCTTTAAAATTATAAACAATAATTATCACTGCTATCATTCACATCAAAATACAATAAGCGTTTACTGACCGTATTTGTTGATTAAAATACAGAACTTATGAAGTTTATCATACTTTAAGTTTTAAAGTTTAATTCAGTTTACCATACGAGCTACTAAAAGTTGTAAAGTTCGCGTTTAAGTTTCTAACCAGTTACGACCATGCCATTTTATATGTGACATTCATGCCATTCTATGACATTATATCAAAGTATCTCAGTGTCACAGTGTGTCTTCACAACAACATCTCTGCGTGTAATTTCACAACAAAGTCGCAGCTCGATTGCGCATGAGTATCACGGTGTGAGTTACTTAAAGTCACAATGTGACGTCCCCAAAACAGACATTAAGCCATTCCTACAACGTCATTGTGACACTGAGATTGTTACAGTGCGACACGTTTGCAATGTCAAAGCGACGTCACCGTCACACTTATACAGTGATGTCCCAATGCTTCATTTTCGTAGCATTACATTTGTGACCATGATACAATGTCACAGAGATGTCACATTGTTATGTAGATGTGAATGTAAGACGGATGTCACATGCACATCACAGCAAACATTTAATGTAACCACAATTTCTCAATCTCCCCTACTGTGACTTTTATTGACCTTGCTGACGTAATTCTTCTTTAATGGAATGTTTTCCTGCGAGCTGACCTAGCCCATCTCCCGATTCATTGTTGTGTGTTTCAGTAAACCTTTCGAAATAAATTATTTTTCCTGCTAACAGCATGCAATTTTAGTTATTTCTTTTTTACTGTTGTGTGCTTACAGGTTTGTAGTAGATTGGATGCACACAGAACTGATGAAAACTTGATAACATTTATTTTACCAAAAGAAACACTTCACAGTATCACAGAGCACAATAAGAAGTTACACTTCAAACTACTAAGAACGTTAAATACAACGTAATACAAAGCGCATTCAAGAAACACTTCATAGTATCACAGAGCACAAAAAAAAGTTACACTTCAAACTACTAAGAACGTTAAATACAAAGGGCATTCAAAGAGCAAAGCTGACACAGAGATATCTCAATACTCAGAACTCATGGTGAACTGGACAGAAGCTGTTGCTCTCTCCGGTCTTATATAATTTTCCCCGCCCGCCGAGGGATTTCTAGTACCTAAAACATACTGGAATTACTAGAAAGCATATGAGGACCGGATACGGTTAGAGCTACATATAGCATCAATAAAGTTGTTAAATTACAAAATCCGTTCGGTTATACAGAGACCGGACCAAAATGTCGCCAAATGGTCTCCACGTTTGGCCACTTTTAGCGATTTCTCCCCCAAGTCCTTGCTTATGTAAGAAGTCTTGCTCACACGCTAAACTCCCTCCTCACATTTTGGCGATTTCTCGCCAAATTTGGCAAGAAACATTTAGTCGCCAAATACATTGTTGACTTGCCGATAATTCTCTAATTTATTTAGCTATTTAGCCAATGTTAAATAAACTTGCTTCTATATTCTTTTACTTTGCCGGCAAAGCTTCTATTCGTCGATTTTCATATTACATTATGCAAAAAAGTGCTACAATTGACCGGTGAGAACAGAGGTAACATATGATCTCAGTTCTGTTGGTTTCTAGAGGCCACCAGTGAAATATTATTAAAGATGATTCGATTAAACTTCTCTACCATGCCGTATGACTCCGGATGTAAAGGTGTCGTTTTGGCTTTTATGGATGCTGAGTAGCTTGCAGAGTTCTTTAATTACAGCCGAAATGAAAATTCCTTCCTTGATCGGAATGTAGCTGAAGAAGCACTTCACACCTGGAAATCTAGTTCTGTATCATTATCTCTGCTACCATCCTATCCTCTTGATGAGGAATAGCTTATACGCTTCAGGCCACTTTTAGAAGTAATCAGTAACAGCGAGGATGTATTTGTTGTCATTAGCAGCTCGTAGCAGAGGTCCTAGGATGTCAAAGGCAATGCCTTCAAAAGTCACTTTTACATCATAACGTTGCAGTTACGTAAGGCGTTCGAATGTTGAAGGTACATTACATAATGCGAACGACGGTGCATTTCAACGAACGTTGACGCTGCATTATATAATACGACGGTGCATTACACTTCGAACTGCCTTGTTTAGTAGTAAATGCCATCTTATATCGGTCACCATGGTGTGTTGCTATCTGCCAATATACATTCATTAAATAAAGTGTCGAAAACCACTTGCTTCCAGAAGAAGTGTCCAAAATGTGGTCGGTTCTATGGAAAAGGTAGCTTTCTTTGTAACCTCGTTCAATGGCGATAGTCAACACAAAATCTAGTTGAACTCTCTTTCTTTCTGACCAGGGCGATAGGAGAGACCCAAGGATTTCCTCAAGGCTTGATAGCGTCGTTTCTTGGATATCCTTTAGACGTTTTCCTACATTTCTCTTTTTAGCGTCTTGGATGTTTCTTGAATGGTGAATGATCCCCTGTATCAATTCTACAATATGTTGCCTCAAACTAATTCAGCCTATTTCTGAAAATGGGCTCAGAAAAGCTCTTGAAATTCTTGAATGACACATTCTAAGGCGTTCCTCTCTTCTCCTCTTAGTTTTGAATTCTGCAATAACTCTAATAATAGGATCTCTGAAGGCACAGATTCTGGAGGGTTGCTGCTTCGTTTAACGCAGATAACTGGCGTACATGCTACAACCATTTTAACTTGGTAATGACTTATCAGTTACATTGGCAACTCTGATCAGTTACAATGGCATCCTAGGACAGCCTTATCAGTTACATTGGCAACTCTGACCGGGATAGTGGTCCACCATAGGTCGATGAGGCCGATGCTACTAATACTCCTTTCCCACTGTAATAGATTTTGAGATATTTCATGACACCCTGCCGGAAATTTCTGTTTTCAGTTATGGATCCAGGTTGTAAAAAAACCTGATCTGGCTAGTTCTGTGATATCGTTTTGAGCTATGATTTGGTAGACGGGTTTAATTCCTTCATCTTTAATTCCGATCACGGTTATGTCCTCAGAGGTAGAATGCTGATCGTTTTTAAAAAATCCAAGTTCTTATCCTTTTTTCATGTACATATTTTCCGTATTATACGCGAAGTTATAAATACAGACCATACGAATATGGTTAATAAATCACATTGCCATTTTTCAGAGAATTATCTTGGAAAAAAAAACAGTATAAGAAAAAGTATGAATGTATACAGTACATCACTCTCCATTATATTTACTTCTATTTGGAGATACATAAGGGTAGTCTTAATTTGCTGTAAGCATTCATATTCAGCACTTATCAGTAACAATTCATTATTATAAGTCACAGAAGAGATAAAATATACAATTAATAAATAAATTAATTATAATATAGTTTGTTACGTTATAAATGCATCACAAGTTTACAACTGAACGTCATTTTTGCTTCTAGCATCCATGCTCGTACTCCACTGAAATAATTTTCACATTTCATTTGAGACTATAATTTGTCATTTTTCATCTGCGAATATTAACTGCCAGCAGTAAATGAAAATGAGAAAAGTTAACTCAAGTACTAGCAAAAAGAAAAGCAATCAAAAAGGAAAGGAAAAAGGAAAAGCAAAAAGGAAAGAAAAAATGTGAGGGAAAAATATTCTCTTGAGACACCAAGGAAAGCAAAAAGGAAAGAAAAAAAGAGAGGCCGAAATATTCTCTTGAGATACCAATTTTAAAATAACAAAGTACTAAAATAAATATGCATATCTATGAATTTAATTTTGTCGTGCAAATATGTAAGTATTCATCAATTAAAGCTAATATGAATACTTCTATATGCCTTTTTTTACAGGCATTTTTGCTTAAATATCTATTTATAATTTTCTATGTAAATCTTTTTGTATAATACTTATAATTTCATTCCAATTTATTATTTTCCCGTAATATATATCAGCATCAATTTATACATAATGCAAGGAGTAATACATTATATAATCAACAAGTAAATCATGTGTAACTTTATAATATAATTAACTTCGTCTTTAAAGATATACGATATAATTAACTTCATATTGCCAACTAACGTACGTGAGTGAATGCCAATGTAAATGTTGTATGTATTTCCATTTTATCCCAACTAATAAAAATTCTGAAATTCGTAAATAAATATGATTTATTTATGTTTTCATCATTAATTTTGCCTTAAAGCTAACAAACAGCACATAATTAAATGCTGTTAAAAATATTTATGCTTCAATTTAAAAATTAGATCATTGGTTCGTCACCCCTCCTAAAATCGAGAGGCTTTGACCACAGACACGGTTAGAGCATTAAAATCTCTTCACACTAGTCATGAAGTTATGTCTCTGAAGACGTTATTACATATGGCTATAGCCCCTGATAGACGGGATTTTTCAGAGAAACGAGATTCTGGTAGCACTGGTTTAAACGGTAGTATTCCTAGAAAAAAGAGCCCCGCCTGAAGCGAAGTCCCGCCTAGCTACAGAAGCAGTGTTGCGGCTATGCGGGATTTTTTCAAACCTCACCGAAAATGTCTCTGGTCCCGGATAGAGACAAGCAATCAGACGAAAGTTCTTCTTCTCAAGGAGCACGTGATCCCGATTTAAGCGATAATCGATTACTGTTTGGAGTTCGAGTCTTTGTAGTAAGTGAGAATGGTAACCTAGCTACGTCCGTTTCCCGGAATCGTGCGGGTTCTTAGAATTGTCCCTTTCGACTTTCGAGTCCCGCGTAGCCGAAACATAATGTGATTGGGACCTAAGATGTCAAAAACATGTCGTTGTAAAGGCTGGAGCAGTGAACTGCAGAGACGGCTCACACGATTTACTTATCTCTGTATAGTCCGCCGTACCATTATTTATTCTTATTTCGTAATGAAGGAATGGTTAAAACAATTTCGCATAGGGTGAGAAGTTTTAGAATATGATTCTCACGTAGGACAATCATTGGAGGCATTGATATCTGAAAATATTTATTGAATTCCAGAAAGAAGAATTGAGGGATAGGATATTAAAAGTAAAGAAACTAGTAGCAAGAATGGATCCATCCAAAACACAGTTTAGCGCGTCTGCATAACTTCTGGACGGGAACAAAATCTTTATATCGTGGGTACCCTGATTTCTTTCAGCAATTCAAAATCAATAGCGTGGATATATGTAGTCTGACCAGCCCTTTTATAGCCTTTAGTTAACTTCAAACGTTTATTGTTTCTTCTACAAACTGAAATCTCATTTTGATGGATCATCATCATTAGTATATTCATTCATAAGGTACCCCCTCCCCTTCGAAAAATTGACCTCATGCCCACAGAGCCTCTTTGAAAACACACTGTGGAGTCTGTAGAAGTTCGTATTTATCTTCCATTGACTAAAACTGCGATTGAATGTGTTATTAGAGCTGCTAGAGATACCCTTTCTAGGAGCCTAAAGTGTTATAAATGCATCACAAGAGAGTCTTTGGAGACCTTTTCACAAGAAAAGAATGCTTGAAGAAAGAATCATAGGTATGATCATAATATATTCAGGCCAAAAAAAATTTTTTTCGCTAGAGATTTCCACCTCCCCATATTTAATTTTGTGTTACCGAATTTCAGAAAGCTGACTGCTCAACTTAAGAACTCCTTGTAAAAGGACTAGACATTTTCGTAAACATTTGGGTAAGTAAGTTTAATAACTCAAACGTTGAATGCAGATTGATTACAATGTGCGAAATATATATATTCTTTTTTAATATAGTCGATAAATGATGCGTCTTTTAATTTGTTTTTATGATTTATATAATATTTAATATGTTAATGTCATTATTCTTTATATTTCCTTTATTACTTTATAGCATTGCCTAAGAAATCATCTTGTTCCACATATAAGAACAGTTGTTGATTAAATTTTCATTAAAATAAGCTGCATTAATTTCTTAACAAAAATCTTAAGTACTTTGTTTCAATGAGCTAAAATAGATTTTATTTGCCTCTGCTTGGAATTCTAATTTATTTTTTCTTTGAACAGCTGTAAAATAAATATTTTAATTTGCAGCTAGTTAAACATGGGTTTGAGGAGTTGATTGCCTATATTAATTATCATGTATCAACGTACAAGTTAGTAGCTTGCACTGAAGATTGTTGAACATTGTGTTTGTTGTCGAGAAATGCTGTAAAGATGATAGGAGATGTTGCATAAGAAGATATCGCATAAAAATGCAAATAATCTGTCTACCAGAGAATAGAGTAAATTAGCTGAGAAACTTATTGTTTCAAGTAAACCAGTGCTCTATGGTTAATATATGCTTAATCCTATATTATTGCTAATCTAAGTAAAACTGTATTAAAGGATGATTTGTAGTTAAGGAGAAAATTTTCTTGACGGTCTTTATATGGGAAGCTTTTTGTATCTTTTTAATATTGCCATTCTTAATGTAGATATATAATTTCCAAACCTTGCTCTGTTGTCCGTAAATGTTACATTGGTAAACTCTGATATCCACCCTAATTTCGCTAAATGCTTTGAGATTGGTACTATTGGTATTCTTTTTAATTCATTTTTGACCAAGATCTTCTAATCAATAGTTAATGAGTTATTCATTTCAGTCATAACTACCCGTTGATTTTGTATTAATAGTGTACTGATTGGGAATTTAATGCTTATATACTCAAGGTAAAGCTCACGAAAGCAAGCTGAAAGGAATATTTACTTCTGTTTTCTCTAAGCTTCTTCATATTTAACATTCTGTATGGAAATTGATGTAACATTTTTCCATTTTGCTGCTGTTTATTTCTACTTTGTTTACATCATTGTATGAGGGGTGTTTTTTAAGTAAGGGCCATTTGAAAATAAAAAACAAATAAAAGAAAATTATCAAAAATTTATTTTCAGATTCTACATATGTTTCTCTATTTTTCAACATAGTTGCCAAATTTGTTTAAACACTTATACCTTAGAATTAGATTTTGAATACCCTCTTCATGGAAATTTCCGCCTGCTCCGACAGTTGAGAGGTCATGGCCTTTCACGTCCTAGACACTTCAGGAAAACACTTCAGGAAGTTCGTTTGAAAGAGTGCTTATAGTGAAGTGTCTGTTCTCAAGAATTTTCCCTTCAACTGAAGCCACCACATCGTTTGTGATCCCAGATCGGCTACCAGAGCAGGACTCATGAGGGACGTTGTCACAACCAGCTTTGAAGTCTCTGACTTACTTACACACTTTGCTTTCACTCATGGCAGTTGCTCCATAAATTTCACAAATCTGCCAGTGAATGTCTGCAGTGGACACGTTCAGTCACTGTGGACAAAAAAAAAAATAAAATAAAACATGCAAGTTCGGTCAGTGCAGACAAACAAAATGTATCACTTACCAAACCTTACACAGGGCAGGAGATTCCATAATCTTGAACATTTTAAAGATACAGAACAGATCGTACAGGTTACCTACAGAGCTGCAACTGAGCACAGTTGTTTCCAAGGAATGCCGCAATAACAAAAACAACAACAAACAGAAAAAAAAAAGTAGCAGCAGTTATATATAAATAAAAAATATTCCTTTATGTGTTTGTGTTTTAATTATCATTTTCTATACTTTCATTTTGTGTCTTATGGATTTCATCTTTTTTTTTTTTTTTTTGTTGTTTTGTTTTGTTTTGTTTGTGTGTGTGTGTAAGAAATTTCTTAAATCTAAAATGTCTGCTTATAGAATCCAAATAAGAAATTATAAAATCTGTTTACATTGTTGTAAATGTTATCTGCCTATTAATGCTGAGTGTGAAAATGTAGAAATGGAATTTTTCTTATGAAAGTTATTTGCTTATGAAACACAGTTGTTTATTATTGGGAAGTTTTAAATGTATAATGACATTTTAAAATCTTAGGAATTGCTTTTAAAGTTCAAGTCAGTATATAATACATTCTGTAATCTTAATTTTTTTATCATTACTTTTAGCCACTTTCACAGCCAGCAACCTAAAATAATTATTATAAGAAAGAAAAAAATGTATAATGATTTTAATGAACTCAGCTAATGTAAAGGTCAAAGGTTTAGCTAGTAAGTAATAATAATAGAGATGAAAATCTATGTTTATTGCTTTTAAATCATTAGTTTGTTAATCAGTAACAGACAGATTAAATTTCAGAAAAAATTAAATATCTTATGCTTTGTGGAATGGCAAGACACCAACATTAAATCCCGAAGTTTTGTGATTAAATTTGAAATAAAAATATATTAAATTTCGTCAAGTGGCAACACATTACGAGAGATAACTTCGTAGCCTGGAGGTTGACTCAGGAGAATTCTTGGGAAGTACTGGCTAGGATCTATACTTAGGTAGTCTCAACCACCAGGGTATATAATCACTTTTCACAGGACCAGAACCCGAGTTTATTCTCAGGATGGTTCAGGCTTGGCAGGGACCATACTGGTACTCTAGTGTCTGTTACATCGTAGTTCGTCGCTGGCGGGATGGCACTCAATTCCGTTTGGCAGTAGCCTCAGGTCGGAAGTTGTCCCGCTAGAAGTGTTTTAATGAGTCTAGCTAATATAATATCATAAAAATATTTATTATTTCTAATTAGACATGATTTCAATGTATTGTTTTTTAACTCAGATTTAGTAGTAGAAAAAGTATTCTAAAGAACTGCATTTATTGCTTTTAAATTGCTTGCTTTGTTATTTAATAACAAACAAATTAAATTTGAAAATATCTTACTTTTTGCTGAATGCATTATGTTAGTACAGGGTTCGTAGCGGTCCTTACAAGTGCTTATAAGTCCTTATATTTGAAAATAAAATATAAAGGCCCTTATAGGTGCTTACTTTTTCTTTATAGCCCTTATTTTTTGTTTTTAGTGCTTATTTTTTGCTTTTAGTGCTTTTTTTTAATTCTTTGTTTTTAATGAACGCGCATTTTATCCCCGTACCAAAGCCGAAACTAAATAAACAACTTTTCTTCCTTATATGCAACGTCAGATGGTGAATCATACTCCCGGAAATTGCTTTCCCCCTTCCTCTGCATTAACGTAACCTATGGTTCGCGCGAGAGTACAGACAGGTGCACGTCGTTCTGTTGGCTAAAGATTTGCGAAAACGGTAGAAAATTCCGGTACATTCGATATTCTTTTCCTCCCACCCAAATACTACACACGTTTGAATTTCTATCAAGATTTTAATAATTTGCATTCTCGTTCCGCGTGATCAGTTCATATTCGCGTTTTTATGTGATCGTTATGCTTATATTATGAGCATATGTATGACTATTTATAATAATATAGTTGCAGTAACTGCTGAAGTATAGATAAACTTCCAAAAATGGGTGTGTTTTTACACAGATTAGCTTTTTAAGGAATAATATTCGGAATGGCTTAAATAAAAGGAAAGTAATCGAATAGTCAAAATAATTTCATTTTCTTTGCCAATACATTATACAGTATGGAGGTTGGGAGTTTCTCCGCAAAATCTGTAATATTGAAGCAGCGGACTTTTTTTTTTTTTGTCACTGACCTATCTGGATTGAATAGGACTAAAAGTTTTTGCGGTCTACCCAACCCAAGCGAAGATTGATTCTATTCCGGAAATTTAATACAGTCTGTTGAAAATTAGAATCAGAAACACCCCGGATTAGTAAGTCTCTTTCTTTTCCTTTATTTAGTTCTTTATTCTCCGAACACCGGCAGGTGTTGATTCCGATTGCATAATATCACATATGGAGGAATTACGCCGCACGTATTGCGCAATAAAGTTTGCGGTATTTTGCATTGATAATTAATTTTGATGTTCAGTCTGAGATTTGTTTATGAACACTTAAAAGAGTTTTACTGTGCTTTCTAAGAGAATATTTCTAAGTTCCGTTTGTTTTTATATGATGCATAATATCGAAATGTCAAAATCATTTATTTAGCCTAAATTTAAATCTAAAGAACGGCTACAATCTCCCCCACTCCTCTTTTTCCAATTACTATCCGGAAATTTCCGAGTATGCGGGTTAGTTAAGCTTTTACTGTTAAAGGATGACTGCATGAAGCAAAATCCCGTCTTCTGATTTCAGAAATGTGCCTCTTTTTTACTTAAATTACTTTGTTTGGGATATATGTTAACGGAAAACTTATGGAATGAAAATGTTCAGAATTTTAAGTTGAATTATTTAAATATTAATATGAGTGGAAAAATAAATTGTATTTATTATTAGGTGCCAAACGAATACAATTAATATGGCTTCTTATTATTTATTGTGGAACTACTCTGATATGTGCCCTCAAGTCGCCAAATATTTTTGGCGAGAAACTTCACGCTGCCATATTACTATCTAAATTTTTTGTCTACATTTTGAACTTTTAGCTTAAAATGTCTCCAAAAACGCTGTTTTCGCACATACAAAAACTACGTTTTGAACACACAATTTAGCTAAAAATCCGAAACAAAAACAAAAAATTTAGATAGCAAAAACGTAAAGTTTCTAACCAAAAATATTTGACAAGAATCCATGTACACAGCGACATGTTTTAACTTAAAAAAAAATCTACGAATTGCACAATGTAGGCAACAAACGAATCTACAAACTACGCAGACCTCACTTTAATGAATTAACATAACAACAATAAATTTCAAAGAATACCATGTACACAGCATTCTGTTTAAACTTAAAAAAAATTCTACGAATTACACAATTTAGGCGAGGAAGGAATCTATGATCTACGCACTCCTCGCTTTAATAAAATAACATAACAACAATAAATTTCAAATAATACCATGTACACAGCGTTCTGTTTCAACTTTAAAAAACATCTACGAATTGTACAGTCTAGACACTAAACAACAAAATAAACTAAAATAAATTTCAAACAATTTAAAAAACAACAATAACCACAGAAATTCATACTAAAGAACCCATGAACATAACATTCTACAAAATAAGAACAAGGATAAAATTAAATGCACTTACCATGAATTAATGCATTTTTCGAGCATAGTAGAAATATAAATTTCATACCGCCTTTACATGCCGCCACGTAATCACTATCGTATTTACATGACAGCCAGACACACTATCCAGAAAATTCATACTATGGTTCACAAATAAATAAAATCACAAATCCCTACTTCTATCATGCACTAGCCATTAAAAATAATCTCCCAGACCCTCTTTCCACACCTTCCAAATACCCGCTACCCCTCAACAGGATAGGGCCACAATCATATTTCCTTTTGCCGAACTTCAATTCAACACCTTCTACCATTTTATCTTTCCCTCCCATCTTCTCAGACACAGAGGTGCGAACCAACGAGCTCCAGCGAAAGATTTTTCAACGTCAACAGGGTTGCCATAGAACACGCAATCGTGCCAAAAACCAGCGCAGATTACACATATCGCCACATTTGGTGAAAATTAGGGCGTATATTAGAGTTTGTACCTTTATTTTCTATATTTTCAGCTGAAATATCATCAGTAAATTTTGTAATATAGTTTAGTTCTGCATAGTTTTTTTTCTCTCATTGTAAACTAATTCTGTAAATTGAACTGTCATTTAAAATTAAAAAAAAAAAAAGTTAATTGTTTTCCATTTTTGAGGTAATGCTCATTCTCCTAATAAATATTGCATTGCTCATATTTTAAATTACAAGTCTAATTTTTCTTTTAAGGTTATGCAGTTGTGTATAATGTAATTAGACAGGTGCTTATTTTTTCCTTAAAATGTGCTTGAAAAGTACTTATAGGTGCTTATTTTTTTAACTAAAATGTGGCTATGAACCCTGTAGTACCTGAAAGATAAAATTATTCTATTTTAGGCTGTGGTCGTACATTGCATGATAAAAAGTGAAAGATTACATTTTGCCAAATGACAGCAGATTGGTGTACTGGAGATAAAATTTTTTTTATTTTGAGCAGTATTGTATTTTTGCTTTTTAAGTTGCTGAGTAGTTAAATTCACATAAAATATGAAAAACATAAAAACATTCAAACTTATGCACATAATCTAGTGGAGGATTACAGTCATTCAAAATTTGATGGCTGTAGGTGCCACTATTTTTCCACAATGCAAGGAGATACATAAATTAAATTTCTGAGAAGCCTATCACATTCATCCAGATTTGTCAGTTTTGATTCTTAATTTTCACTTTCCAAAAATATTTAAAATTCTTTTATCATAAATGGCTTTTTGTCTTCTTCCCTCCCCATTTTCCTCATCGAGTTGCTCATCCGATGGCATAAATGCTCATTTACATTGAAATGGAAATAATTATGATTGGATATCCATGCAATTTAATTCAGAATGCTTACTTTTAATGCAGACTGCTTTGTGTCATGTTGTTTCTTAAAATGCTTTGAATCTTTTTAATTCAAATGCACTGACAGCTAAATATTAAATTTTCAGACTGACATTTATTCAAATAATTGTAATATATTGAAGTAACCACTAAATAACTTACTTTTGACTCGGACTAAAAAGAAATACTATAGGAAAACTTTCCAAAAGGGAGAAAACTTGAGAATGAATAACCAAACTTATTCTCTTTCTTACTAAACCTTTAATCAGCTACACCTCATGGAGTTCCAATTTTCATAAGGTGGAAAATTACTTGAAAGTACCTTCATTACGAATTGGAAATATTCATCACCAGTCTGGTTATTTTTGTAGACTTCTTAATTTTCAACTATGGAAAAAAAATTGTTTACATGTAAATGTACTCCCAAACAAAGCAATTACTCTTATTGCAAAAATTCGTAACTAAGAATAAATATTATAGAGATAATATTTGATGTAGTAGATAGTGTCACCTTTATTATAAGATGTACAAACTAACAATTTTAATCATCTAATAAATTGTCATTTCTTTTAATGCTTGCCCTCATGATTTTAAGAGTTTTTTGTAGTTTGAACAGATCTTACTTATACATCTATTACATTGCATTTTGAAAATGGCATTTGCAATTGCTTATAACTGAGTGATCTTAGGCAGGGACCTGATAAATCTGTAATACAGTCAAAAGTCGTTAATCCGGACTCTTCGGGACTTCGGCGATTCCGGATTATCGATTTTTCCGGATTATAGATCATCAGTTTAAATCTGGTAAGATGGCATGCAGAAATTATAAAATTAAAAATATGAAACCGTAATTTATGAAATAAAGAACAATTTATGATCTAAAGGGTATCAAAATTTACAAAAAAAAAAATGCTAAATATTTATTTGTTTACTTTATTAAACATTTCTTTCAATGTAAGTTGTTTAAGTTGCTTCATTTTTGCGCTAATACTTTCTCTTTAATTCTATAAAGACATAATTTCTTGTTCAGTTACAAAGTTCCGCTGTTCAAGTCCTATAATTGCTGTGTCGAGAATACCGACTAATTTGACAATCGAAATTTTTTCGTTTTCAATAAACCCTGTGCCACTTTCTTCGCTATCGGAAGCAAATTATAATGATGAAGAATTTGATTTAAATCATATCAAAGACGGAGTACCTTGAGATGAAATACTACATTTAGTAAGGAATTATAAGCCAAATAAAATAAAAACATCTGCCCTGAAGATAAGGATAGTGCTGACAGATCAACTTCCAGTTCATTTGCGCGCCGCAACATTCCCCCCCCTGCACACGCAGAGCAGCATGAAATTGATAAACAGATTTTGGAATGGTTAGATAAACAAAGGATATGCCTTTATCCATTTTTTTGCAGCAATTCCACTTTTTGTTTGATGGACATCGAAACATGCTTTCCCTTTGTAGATCCTTTGGCAGCTCCAGAATTTGAAACTCTTTTTTGACATAATCAAAAGTTCAAGCTTACTTTTATAAAATTGCTCAACAGTCTGCAAAAAATAATAAGCCGGATTCAATTCGAAGATTAAGGAACAACGCAATCTGCAACATTAACTAAATTAGATAATTTTAGCTTAGCTTATACCGTCCGTTATACATTAAACGAGCATTCGTAAACGTATTTTTCGCATGCGCACACGCATATTCACAGCTGTAAAAGTCTTACACGCATGCTTCAATGAGACGCATGCGCAGAAAGTTTGTAGCTTTGAGGTCCGGATTATAGATCATTCTGGATTATGGGTGTCCGAATTAACGACTTTTGACTGTATTCAGTTGACCATAACGTCTCCATTAATATACACTTTTTTTTTTTTTTTTTTTTTTTTAAATAGCAGGATCCCATAACTTTAAAAATAATCCACTGCCTTCTGTTCTGCAGAAAGCAAGCACCAAATAAAAAATTTACGAGTTACAGCTAATTATATCCTTTTTCATAAAAAAAAAAAAAAAAAAAAAAAAAAAAAAAAAAAAAAAAAGGTGGCTTATAGACAGTCAGTCCAGATTACATCAAGTGAAACCTCAGATATTATGAGTGTGTTACATCATGTTTTTCTGTAATTACCACTAAATTGCACTTCTTGATGACAGTTTTATGGTCAACAGGATAATATATAAGTCTTCCGGAATTTTTGTCTGGAATATTATCAACATCGATAATAGTCTGGTGATGAGTTTATTCAGAGAATGCAAAAGTTAGCTTGAAAGTATTGCACAATTGTTTTGAATAGTTTACTGAAACAGTGATGGTTATTTTATATTCATTTTTATAAAGCTGTTATTAATTCATAACAAATGTTAACCTTTTAATGGTGATCAATGAACTCAGCTTGCATTCCAGTTATACACTGCAGTGGGTGCAAATAAATACATCTTGCATTACAAATTTATGATTGATAGATATTGTGCATGTTTGGGAAGAAAGAATTGCTTAATCCCATAGCTGCAGAAAGGTTAGTTTATATTTTTTGTGAATGAACATAGATATTTGAAAGATATGAGTTTACTTCTAATTAAAGATTAGTTTGAAAAAGAAAAATATGAGTGAGTAGTTTGTTGGCTCAAACCGATTTTGTGTTGTTTCTTCCCTACTTTTTTTTAAATGGATGCCATTAAAGAATTAATTTGATAATTAAAATGATTTCATAGTTATGTAAATAACTGAAAATGCTTACTATTATTTTCATTATCTAAATTTTCTTTGATACCTATGATATAGAAGAGGGCATTAAAATGTAAAAAAATGCACTTGATTCATGATTACTATGTATTATTGCTACACATTTTTGTTTTTTAAAATATATTATTATTTTATAGGCATAGTAAAAAAATGCAGAGCCTAGCAAGATCAGTATTTACCATTGGGAGAAGATGTGTGCTGCAGAAAGGACCTCAACAAAATACTGGTTGCTTGTTTACAACTTCTTCTATACTTAAGAGTGACAAACTTTTTGTTCATCGGGACACTGAGCAAAACAATCCAGATATACCATTTGAATTTACTCCTGAGAATTTAAAACGTGCTGAATCTATCATAAGTATATATCCAGAAGGACATGAGTCAGCTGCAGTTATACCTTTACTTGATCTTGCTCAGCGACAGTATGGTTGGTTACCTATATCTGCAATGCATTATGTGGCTGATATGCTCAAAATGCCTCGCATGAGAGTGTATGAAGTTGCAACTTTTTACACTATGTTTAACCGTGAACCAATTGGAAAGTATCATGTACAAGTTTGTACGACAACTCCTTGTATGTTAAGAGGTGCAGAAGATGTTCTTGATCAGTGTAAGAAAAATTTAGGTATTGATGTTGGTGGAACAACAAAAGATGGTCTCTTCACATTGAATGTTGTAGAATGTCTTGGAGCCTGTGTTAATGCACCAATGATTCAAATTAATGATAATTATTATGAAGATTTGTCTTTAAATGATGTAGATGAAATTTTAAATGACTTAAAATCAGGGAATGTACCAAAAGCTGGTCCACGTAGTGGTAGATTAGCTTGTGAACCAGCTGGTGGTCTGACATCATTAACTGAGCCTCCTCCAGGCCCTGGTTTTGGTGTTCGATCAGACTTGTGAATTTGACCAACATATGAGTACATTTGCGCAAGTTAAAATAGATATTTAAAATTAAATTTCTGTTGCAGCCCATCAATTTTCTTTTAGAATTAAGCAGTATAAATATAGTTATGCATAAAAATTTTATTTTGTAAAAGATTTAGATGCGAAACATTTATACTTTTGGGAATATGAGCTCTTTATTGCTTTAAATAAAAATTAAATAATGTTAGTTGTTGAATTCGTCACTTAATTGTTACATATGTATCGTATACCAGCTTCACGAGATATTTTATTTTATAAGAGCTGAACATGAAAAAATTAGGGAATGATGTGGTATTTAACATACTACTTTTTAGTTAGTTATATATTTCTTGGATGCTGCGACCAAAATATTATTTTTGAAGTTGAATGTTTAAAAGTTTCTTTTTCCCACCATTTCAACTTTAAAACACTAAAGTTGAAATGGTGGGAAAAAGAAACTGTTAAAACAACAAACAAGTTCAGTTCCTATGGTAACTAACTAGAAGCAATAGATCGCATACTATATCATCACAAAAAAACTGTGTTTTTGTTGTTGTAACACTTGTATAGTTAAGCATAGAATATCAAACATACCTACACATTTATTCTGGGAAAAACTTTTTATTACAGATGAAAATCAGTTTGGTTGTACTTTTCATAACTAATATAAGTTAATGTTATACATGTTTTAAGAATTATTTCTAGATTTTGTTGCCTTCAGTACTTATGTTAATTGTGGTTGACAATAAAATTTACTGTAGAGTATATTTTGATTTAGGGGATAAGCTTTGTGGCTAGAATGAAGGCTAGAAACTTTAAGTGCAATTTAAGTACAGTTTAATTCAGCAAACAAGTAGTTCGGCACATATATGATTTTTTTGTAGCTGTAATATGCTTTTTTCTTTTCTTTCTTTTTCCTTTTTTAATTTGCAGATTAGATTGCCATTTTTAATATCATTCATATTTATAGAATTGCAGGTCTTTGTAATGTCTTAAATTAAAAAAAATTTTTTTTTAAGAATTCTAAACCGGATTGCTTCACTCTTGTATGAATTTCTGTGCATATAACATACATCCCCCAATATATATAGATTTTCATTTTTATTGTGGTTCATATTTCTGGAATTCAAATCTTTTCTTGACAGAATATTTATAGTTTTAGACTTGATCATTTCAATGCTTGAAAGGTCATTTTTATGCTGAGCATGATACAAAATTTGTGTCATGAATCAAATAATTTGTTTTGCCAAGTACAAGTATTCGGAAAAATAAAAATTCTGTGTGATATATTATTCTCTTTTTTGTTTTACTCTCTTTTTTTAAATTAATTCAGATAAGCCTATAGTAAGAATAATTTGTATGCACTTGTGTATGTATGTGCATATATGTGTGTATATACTCATCCACACAAACATATATAAATACATACATGATGTACATATATAGATATATACGTGAGCATGTACATCCATACATAAATGCATATACACATGTATTTCTCAATCCAGTCCCAGTAACGAAAAGTACCATAATTTAAACTGAAAAAAATTTAATATTTTTATATTTTGCATTATACTTTTGACTTGTTCATGCTATTTCTTATATATATATATATATATATATATTTTAGCCATGCATTTAAGATTTGATTTGTAATCATACTTACTGTACTGTAATATTCAAATAAATTTGCCAAGATCCATATGCGAGCTTTCAAATAAGTATTTTAAAGTTAACCACACTGGTGTCTTTTCAGTGGCAGCATTTTGTGGAATTTTGTAATTATTTTATTTTGGGAGAGGAATATACAAAACTTATCTCAGATTATTCTCAGAATTAGAAAATAATGAATACTTTAAAGCTACAGATGTTTTTAAAAAACATTTTCAATATTATCTTGTTTTCACTTGATGCTAAAATTCCATCTTAAGTTAATAAAGAGCAGAAATACAATGATGTGTTGTCTTCAGTTTTATAAAAGTGGAATAAAAGAATAGGAAAGTTTGTTCATTAGAATAAGAAAGTGATCTATTTAAAAAGTTACTTCATCTGTACATTTTAATAATTTTTTGAAGTATGTATTGCATCATAATGTAAGTAAAATATATTATTATAAAATACATTGATTGTAAAATTTTTATTTCTATTTCTTTTATAACCTGTTTTCTGCATTCAAAATAAAATCAAATAGGATGATAAAATTTTAAAATATTGCCTGGTACATGTGTATATTTTTTAAATTTTATTATAGTAGTTATATATTAATAGTTTTCTATTTATAATTTTAATTTTTTTAAAAAAATTTTGTTCAGTAGCAAAGATTAATTTTTGAGTCAGTTGATAAAGAGTACAAAGAAATTAAATATTTATATGATTTTTTTTATATATTTTAATTTTTTCCTTTAATTTCTTAAATGTTCTTTATTGTGTTAGATAGTGATCTGGAATTTTCAGAATGTAAGCTAATTTTTTACTCCTTGTATTTAATTATGTATGAGATTTTGTGTATGATGTCTTAAGCTTTTTAATAACTATAAACATCCAAATTTTCTCTTCAGGCTAGAATTTTATTATAACAGAATAATATTGACAACTGAAAATTAATTTAAATTCTTCTATTAAGGACGAATATTTTAATAGGAGAATTTAAATTAGTATAAAACTAAAAATATAGTCTGTAGATTAAAAATGAAAATAATAACTTCCTAAAAATTTTTCTTCTAGTCTTCTTTGCCATTTATCTTTTGAAAAGAGTCACTTTTTAAAATCAGATTGTACATATATGAGTTATTAACAGCAAACAAAACAGATAATTTGTATAAAATTGCAATTTATAATTTATTATATTAAAATTTGGATTTAAATCCAGATAATCATTCAAACTTTTAAATAGCACGTTTGAATTTTGTATTAAAAATTTTTGCATATTATGTCATATTTTTGCCTCTGTATGACAAAAAAAGTTTATTGAATATGTATAGCATTTGACTTGCAAACAAATCTTTGACAAAAAGCATTTTAAAAATTTATCCATCGTCACACAATGTGTCTTGGTAATATTGAAAATTTAAATTACAATTCAAATCTTTTTAATTAGCTGGATATTACTTTAACATTATACATAGTAATACATTTCAGATACAAATTAAGCAATATTGCATACTGGATTAATGTGAATAATTTGAATAACATTGCTTTAAATTTTACACATCAATATATTAATAATTGTAATCTAATAACAAACATTTCTTATAAATCATATTGTATATATAAATATTGCATTTTATTTTATGGTTTCTAAAACAGTCTTCTAAAATCTTTGTAAAAAGTTTTACCTGAGCAGATACTTTGTGCATTTCATAAATTTATAAATTCATGTAAATTTCTTGACGTTCCTGGTGTCTCAGTTTTTGAGCTTATGTTTTAATATTTTGCAGGACACTTAGTAATTGTACAATTACCATATTATCTTTAATCTTTTTATGGTCATCAACGAGCTAAGCTCACATTCTAGTTACGCACCACTTGTTTGTATCTGAAAGTTGGAGCAAGATACCAAAGAATGGAAAATATTGTAGTGGCAAGCTATATCAAATATCCTATATTATAAAACTTTACTTTTCCAGTATATTTTTATTATTTTAATATATAAATTAGGCTCTATTTCATTTAATTCTGGTCATTTTTCTCCTTTAAGTCAAGTTCTGAATTATGAGTAGTATTGAATATTGCACAGAGTATCATCTAACAGTGCATGAATATTTTTAATACATGCATTTCATGTTAATTAAGAAAGAAAAAGAAGGGATGTGTTATAATAAGTAATGTTTAAAAATATTTTTTCTAATAAGGCAGTTTATTTATGTGAACTATTCTTTCTTAACAAAATTTTTTAAATATTAGAAATAGTCATTAATGAATTGTAAACACAATTTGTGACAGAGCTTTTATTATTGTATATCAGGTATTCAGTAGCTTAATACGTTCATGCTGGCGCGGGCCACCCGTCTGTCTCATAAGGTGGCACATACCACCAGTGGCCCACACTAGTCTGTCTCATTGGGCGGCACGTACCACCGGTGGCCCGCACTAGTCTGTCTTATCGGGCGGCGCATGCCACCAATGGTACACATTAGATTGTGTTATTAGACGCTGAAAATTAAAGTAATAAAAAATTCACATTTATTTATAAAAACTTTTTTAATAACAATTATAATTAATAACTATTAGCAAACGTACAACTCATATACAGGTTTGAATAGGTAATAATCGCGTGCCGCCAGATGAAACGCGGCAAAAGTTCAAGCGTCATCTCACGGCGAAGAACATAAAAATTGGGCCCGGCATAAACGTGTTAATTATCTGATCGAATTAGTATCTCTATTATATAAAAACTACAGTTAATTTCTTTTAGGAATCGAAAAGACCCCTGTTCTCTTGATTCATTTTTGTAAAACGGTAAAATTCTGTAGGGTAATATGATTATTTCCCTACAAAAATATGCTTTCAGAAACCTAAAAGGTTTTACAGAAGGTATCAATTTAAGATACATTTGATTTTTAAAGAAGTTTTAGTGAGTTTACTTGTTATTTTAAAAGAATTTGAGTATTATTATTTTTATAAAATGTAACATAAAAATATGTACCAAAACAAAAAAAAAGTGTTAATGTTTTAAAACAGTGTGCTTTTAAAAAAGGTATTTTATTATTGGCAGTATCGCTATTTTAATTAATAGGTAATGAGCTTTTAATCTTGTTCAACAAGATATGTAAAATTTCTTTCCTCAAGCACTCTACTAAATGCTTCCAAAAATGCTGATGATGCTATCAAAAATGCAAAAATTTATTCATTATTAAAAATGCTATTGCTTTTAGGGGTAATCATGCTCAGCAAACTCTTTTGATGAGGCTTCTAAGTGGATACCTGAAATGTGTTAAATTTGACTGGGGAAATAAGGTCTATCCCATCTGTAGGAAACATGGGTAACCAGTTAGTATTAGGAACAGCAAGAACACATTGGCAACGAAGCTCTGTTGAGTTCAGCAACATCTGATATCCAGTTTTTATGTGGCATTCTTTAATTATGCTATATTTATTTTAATTTTATTCTTTAAGTTTTTTTCTTATTAGCTTACTGAGAATTTGTAGTTAATCAATGTTGAATAATGATATTTTTTTATTAATCTTTTCTCCTGATTTCAGAGAATTTTTTCTGTTTTTGGCATGGACTAAAAATTGCATTTTTATACAAGTTATTTGGTATAAAAACAAATTATTGCTGCTAAAATATTAGTGACTACTGTACATGTAACTTAGATACCTGCTAAATTACAGTATGTACAAAATGCTTATACAGTAAAAATTTAACATATGTACAAAAAATATCTGTTCAAATTGCAGAATAACATTTTTCTCCTTGGATGTATGGCAAATTAAATGTCAGTAGCTCCAAAGTGCACTGTAATCTTTGATTACATTTGGCATTAATGGAAATTTATAAATTCTTCAATACATAATGATGAGCTTCACTACTGAATTGCACTGTTAAGAACACACTCCCTAAATTCGCCAGAATGGATATATGTAATATCTGTTTCAAGTGTATTTTCTTCAATAGAAGAACGAAAAATTTGCAGTTATTAGCATGTATTACTTTGCAGTAATGCTTCATTATGAGAATGGAGAAGAGGATACCAGAATTGTTCTTATCGTTCCATATATGTCATATTCCCCACCCCGTATATGCATTACCACATATCATCATAGCAGTTTAGCCAGCATTAACTGAATTTGGCATTGTCTGTGACAGCCAGTGTTAAGCATTTGTATTGTATTCAGTGAAAATCTTTAATATAGGACTCTTTTTTTTAAATTCTTTTGCAGTTATTGTCTTTTGCATTTTAACAGTAGCTAGAAATTTCATCTGCTTTCTTTATTGCTCTTTTCTTGTTCATTTGCAGATGGTTTCTCAGACCATGATTTGTATACCCTGGATGGTGATGGATTTTCTCCCGTTTGGTAACTATTGGAATAGAAGCCTGATGCTTGCCTCTCTGTTTCTGTTGTCATATTCCCCACCCCGTATATGTCATATTCCCCCCCCCGTATATGCATTACCACATATCATCATAGCAGTTTAGCCAGCATTAACTGAATTTGGCATTGTCTGTGACAGCCAGTGTTAAGCATTTGTATTGTATTCAGTTAAAATCTTTAATATAGGACTCTTTTTTTTAAATTCTTTTGCAGTTATTGTCTTTTGCATTTTAACAGTAGCTAGAAATTTCATCTGCTTTCTTTATTGCTCTTTTCTTGTTCATTTGCAGATGGTTTCTCAGACCATGATTTGTATACCCTGGATGGTGATGAATTTTCTCCCGTTTGGTAACTATTGGAATAGAAGCCTGATGCTTGCCTCTCTGTTTCTGTTGTCGCTTTAATGATATCTAAAACACTTGCTGCTATTTCATATTTTGCATTTGTACTAGACTCATTATCATTTCCAAAAGGACTAATGGTAGTAGGTCTTGTCCTCACTCTTTTCCTTTTGGGACCTTTTCTAACTACTGCTAATCCACCATTTTGGGAAGAAAATACCCTTTTCGAATTATCTTCGGAACTAGCATTATTAGAGTGTGGAAATCCCCCAGATACTGAAACAGAAGTAGATATACTGGCATTGAGCTTTTGTATATCAAGCTTTCCATTCAAAAGGGATTTGGAGATTTCTGGTAATGTTTTAGGTAATAAGGGAGGCCGTTGTTTAAAAAGAACTGATGGATCTTTAATATCATTTTGGGAATTTGGTGATGTAGGTACTTGAGGCTCATAAGTAGTACTTGGGGCTGTAGTTACTTTTTCTTTGTACCTTATAGCATTATTTTCTTTTGCTTTCGCATGTTCTGTTTGAGGTTTACCTGTAGTCACATCTCTGTAGTCTTTTGGTGCGTTATTTCTTGGATTATATCTGTTTTTCCTCTTAGGCTTCCTTAATTTCCTTGGCGGGGACTCACGCTGTTGGCTATTATCACCACTTGTTTCCTTTGAAACACTGCGTTCTTCGCTTTCATTTTTTTCTGAGGAGTTAGCATCTCTAGCTTTAGATGATTCTTCCTGAGCTGCCGTAAAGAATTCCCTAGCCGATTCAGGCATTGATTTGATATTCATGTTGTGCAAAGGGGATTTTTGTTGTTGCTCTACATGTGGTGGAACACTGAAGAAATTAGGATTGAAATCAACAGGGGCACCTTGAGGGCGTAATGAATATATGCTTTGGTCTATGGGGGGATGCGGAATACCAAACATATCGGTGCTGCCCCCAAGAGTTGGTGGAGGTCGTTCTGAAGGCGGAACGAAATTTTGAAGTCCCCTGGGTACACTATAAAATCCTCCGTTATCGTTAAAATGGTGCATTTCTGGTTTTGAAGATGGTATTGTTGGTGGGCGATTTCTTGGTCTAGGTGGTGGTGGCCGTCTGCGCCTTGGAAGAGTGCCTTCATTTCTGTTTGGATTTGGGCCTTGAAATCTGCCAGTTTCACTTGCTTTTGAATATGAAGGGGCTTTATTTGTGTTTCTTTTTTCGTCTGGTTTGTTTAAGGGTCGCGTTCTAACTTCGGTGTTTTGGCTGGAAGACTGTTCCGGCTGTCTAAGTTTCTTACCTGGTTGACTGCTACGGGACTTTGATCTCAGTCTAGTTCCAAAAGCAGGTTCTCCATCCTCACTTGAAAAACTCACTACGGATTCATCAGATTCGGCGCTTGATGTGCTCTCTCCGAATCCTCTTTGTTGATGAGGTTTTTGATTTGATTCTTTTTTATGAGGTTTGGAAGAAGAATCAAAGAACTGGCCTAGCTGATCCTTACCATAATATCCCGCAGGAGGGTATAGACTACTTGTTTCAGGAACTTTGTTGTTTTCTTTAATTGGAGGTAATGCGTTTGAAATTTCATGGTGGTAAGGTGCGCTTGTGTAATCGGCTGGTGGAGGTGGAATCTGTTCGGGTGGAGGAGGTGTAGGTGAAATATTGTTTCGAATATGTGCTGTAGGTGAAGTAGAAGTTGAATATGGCCTTGGTCTGCGCCTTCTACCTGGCCTTCTCTTTCGGGGTATAATGTCTTCAGATGAAGTTGAAGACATGCTAGCTAAATTTTGCCTTGGTGGTTTTAATGACTGATCTCTGAAAGAATCTTCTATGTTTGGCTTCTGTTTAGACCTACCTTGTATATCGGTCATAGCTTTGTAATTTGAATGTTCTTCTATAGCAGGTCTGCCTTGAGATGAAAATTGGGATTGTACATGCTTTGCTCTTGAACGATTTGATCTGCTGCTGCTTGAGGGTGCTTCTTTTTGCTCTTTATCTGGTCGCGAATTTGATTTCGGACGTTTAGTTCCTACAGTAGATTTTGGCGGTTTATATCCACTGTACATTAAGCGACCAACAACTGGTTCGTGTGATATTGGGGTTGTAAATGCTCCTTGGAAGTATGGAAAATTAGGATATGCATTGGCATGTACATCGAATGGTTGGAAAGGCCCGGGTGGAATTTTTCCAGGAACCATTGGCCTTACAGGAGGAGGTTTAGCTGGCATAAAAGGTTTTGTTGTAACACCAAGAGCATAAACTTGACCTTGACTTGTTATGGTTGGAGGAAGTTGTGCTGAAAAGGGTAATGAAGGTCGGAAGTTTATTGCGGGGGGACCGATATTGGATGGCATTCCAAAGGGGCGGTAGTTATTACGTATGGGATATCTGCTTTGAGGTCCTTGCAACAGAGGTGGGGTTTGAACGGCTGGAGGCGATGGAGTTCTGAATTGATTGGGTAACCTGTGAACAAGGTTTGATTGATGTGATCCAGAATGAGCTGGACGAAACGTATTAGGAGCTGGCATTTCTACATGTACAGGTACTGGCACTTCTTCCACAATAACAGTTTGCTGTCCACCTTGTGTTACATGACGGACGGGTGGTGGGCGAGAATGAGACTGCTTAAAAATTTGTGGTCTTGCAATCGATGGCCTTCGAAGAGCAAATCCCGGAAATGTAAATGGAGAAAGGTTAGAACCAGAGCTGTGAATTGGATTTTGGTTGAAAATATTTTTGAAAGGAGAAAAGGTAGGCGCAAATTTCGGGTTGAATGTTGGAAATATTGGACTAGAAAATGGAAGGAAGTTTTGATTTTGCCGTATTTGTCTGCGAAGTCTGCTTGTTATAGATCTCTTTTTTCTTCGAGGAATGTTCCTTGTGTTATGTAAGAAAGGTCTAATTCCTGTTGTGAAAGGAAAGCCGATTCTAAAGGGAAAATGCTTCCTTGGTATGGGCGGTGGATGTGGAGGATGTATAGAAGGAGGATGCAAAACTATTGCAGATTGAGGCTTAGAATTCGGGGAATAAATTTGCTGTTGATGTCTTATTCTCCCATTATGAATTATCTGATAATTTGGCGTTGGTAAGCGAGAACGAACCAATTTTACATTTGGTTTACGCGTTAATGTAGCTTGTGGTCTAGATTCGCTTAACTGATCCCTATAAATTACACGAACTGGAACTTTCTTAGCAGTTAATACTGCTGGCTGTCTGTTTCGAGTTGAATCTTGCTTCAGCGGAAGAACAGACATCGATTTATGTTCTGCCATCATTTGTTTTAACAGTGGCTCAAGTCTTAAAGAAGTGAACTGCGCGACTTCGGCTATATCTTTCACATCGTCTTTATCCTCCGGCGGTACGACTACAATTTTTGGTATCGAATTTTTACGAGATTTTACTTTCCGTCTTTCAATCTCTATTGATTTATCATCTGAAAATATCTTTTCCAAGTGTTCATCTGTGATTGGTCCATTTATTTTAATAATTTCATGACTTGTGTGCGCTTTTAAGTCTTTCTTTTCATCTTCATCCTGTCTTGTTATGAAATCAACCACTTCCAATAGTTCAGACGGTAGTTCTTCAACTTCTTCAGCAACGGACTCCGATCCTTCATAAATATCCTCCTCTGGAATTCTATAATCAGGAATGAACAGTTCATCTTTGTTCTTCTTTGAAGTCATTTGCATCATGCTTGGAGAATGCGGAGCAGACATTGCAAAAAAGTCATTCATCAATTTTGATAAATGTTGATGAGCTAAAGTATGCTTAGACGTCTCTTTCTCTCTGTAAACGCTGTTTGTCACTGGCGATTCTGTTGTTGGAGGAACTTGCAATCGAGGTTTAACGGTTGTTTCTGGTGTAGTCTGTGACAAAAAAGTAGAACCTACGGCTATTTTTCCGTTTGATGTACTTTCTGCTTTCCATCTTTGTTCTTCGATCTCAGCTAATTCTCGAACATCTGTTTGATATTTTCCCAAATATGGACGTGAAACTCTGAAAGGATTTTCAGTTGTGGTTTTAATTTCTTCCAGCGCAGTTGTTTCTTTATCGTCTTCATGCGAATTTAACATTTGATGGTGATGGATAGATTGTTGCTCCCTTGGTTCTGCTCGTGGTGGTGGAAACAAATGCTGGGGTTCTATTGTTGGTTGTTTTTCGCTTTCAGAAGAATTCAGAATGTGTAAATCTGATTCATCTTTAAATTTTTTGGAATTCCGAAACTTCGATTTTCTGGTTGTTTGCGAGAATTTTTCATGTTGAGGTGGTGGCTGCACCATGATTTTTTCGTGATATTCTTCTGTCAAAAGCTCTTCGGAAGCATCGGGTGCACCTTTCTCACCATAAAAGTCAACCGGGCCAGCTGGGCTTGTCTTAGTATTCCCATTTGGTTGGTAATGATGGTGTTGATGAAGCTCTAAAAAGTGTAAATAATAAATACTATAGCCGTCAATCAAAAGAAAAAAAAGGAATAATAATGATAAGAAGAAAAAATAAAATTTTTCAGTCGTGAGAATTAATTTCTTTTGGTCTTTATAATTAATTATTTCTAGACGCAAAAATTTTATAGTTTTTAAAAGTTTGGCAAATCTCTTTCGATTTTTACGACAAAGGTTTTGTTTGGAAGTATCATTCCGCAAAAACTGGTCTCCATTTAAAAAATTTTTTAATTCGAAATATCAGAAATTTCATGAACAAAATTTTAATGTACTAAAATTGGTTTAGAAAATTGTAATTTTCTGTGTTAAAGGTATTATTAGCTATTGCTTTAAAATTTTCCATTTATTTATTTTGTTAATAGGAGCTCGTAATTAAAGCTTTATTCTTACCAGTTTTCTTTTTTTTTTTTTCAGTGTGGAAAACGGCTTGCTTTTTAATAAAACTCATAAAATTACTCGATTTTTCATATTCGGAGCTAAAATATCGTGTATGTATTTGTAAATCTATTCTGTAAATTTTCTAACACTGTATTTGACTTATCATTATCATTAGACTGTATTTGACTACATTTATTAATCACAAGTAGGATTACATTATCAGCCAAAGGATATCGATGGCTTTGTGGAAACGTCTTAAGGAAAATTAGTAGTTTTTACGTCACGCATTGGGAAGGCTACGAATACCTACGAATACAACCAGTCTGTTCAGCTTCCGAAAATAATAGTGTTGCATATTTATGGGTTCGTAATGGATTGAATGCATGCAGACCCGATGATAGATTGATAAAATTTATTTTCCGAAAAGAAACTATTATCAGTTCTAAAACTTTTCACAAAAGTACAGTTCTTCTCAATATGACAAAACACAATTCAGTGTCGTAGCGAGGGGGGGCAAGGGGGTACAAACAAGATTTTCATCATATCACTGTGTTTTTTTCGGGGACTCCACTGACACAATTAGTAGCGACTTCAGAGTAAGAAAGTTAAACGCAACTGTGTGCAAACCACATATGAAGAGCGAACTCCTACGGAGATCTCTCAATACTGGAAATTCAATTCTGAACGAAAAACTGAGAACTGATACTCTTTCTCCGATCTTGTATAGTTTTCACCAGCAGCTGGGAAATTTCCAGTACTTTCTCGTTCTCGACATTACTGAAAGGCATATAAAGTTACATCTAAGGGCCAGATACGGTTAGAATTACATACAGAGATCAATTACAGTTACACAGGGACAAAATGTCCCAAAGGGTTGTCAAGTTTAACGATTTCTTGCCACATTCGGCGACAAAAATTAGTCTCCAAAACCATTGCTAGCTTGGCGACATCTTGCCAATTTAACGAGATAGCCATTTACTTCAATGTGAAATAGACTTGTCCCTGTAATCTTATTTTTCCGGTAGAGCTTCGCTGTCTTCAGACTTTTCATCTTACGTTATACAAAATTTGTAACAGTAGTATCAGGGACGTGTTTTACAGTTTTAAGCCCACGCGGATTGGTCGATTCAGCTGTATTAGAAATGTTTTTGTGAATGTATATGTGCAAATATAAAATTTAGACATAACTGAGAGACTGGCATAGATTTTAAGCTTTATTGATTTCGAAAGTCATCTGACAGATACTTCTTCTTTATAATAGGGAAAATTAGCCAGTTTAATTAGCAGTTACTTCCCTTTTTCTGATGAAGAAGGAGTTGTATCGCGTAATTTTAATTACGCGTAATTATTATGTTGACGTATTTCTCTGCTAGTGTAGTGCATTTTAAAGGGTTGTTAAGAGGGGAGATTAAATTCAAGATCTTTCAGTTTTGTAATTTCATTTTTTTTAACTATGTAAATTCTTATCACCAAGAAGATAATTGCTAGAATGTTTTGAGATTTTTAGAGTTTGTTACTAACAGTGTATGTTAAATTATTACTTCGGATTCATTTAATTATTAAAAATTTTCAAGATAATAAAATATGTACAAAATCGCTTTGGTGAAATAAGGAAAGCAGAAAATAATAATAACAACAATAATTAGACTGGACTTTAATATAACGCTTTTAAAGTCATGCATCAGTTAAAAAAAAGATATTAACCAAATATTCAATACTACAAGTTAGTCATAGTATTGAAGTTTATTTTAGTATGAAGAATTTTTAAATAAAAAAAAAAAAATTGATGTGGGCATCACATGACTTGTGGACATCACATTATACATATATTTTGCTGCGTTACATTTAAATTTATTTAAATACTTCAATCGCTCTTAAAACAAAAAATGCACACTTTAATAACAAATAAGAATAAAAAAACAAAGCTCAACAATGCGGGTAAGGGGCAGGATGTATGCTTAGAGCCAGAATTTTCTAGTGAACTGTTATAATTAAAATACATTAAAAGCGTTCATTAGCTAATTCTGGATACAGAAAAGCAGGAATTTTTGTAGAAGAGAGATTTCAATTAATTTCAAAGTTCCTTTTCCCTGATGCAGTGACATTGAGGTTGATTGAATTCCTCTTCTGTTTTTGTTCATTTTTCATTAAATTTCATAAATTTTTTTAAGTGGGATTTTCTTTGTTTGAAATGTTTTGGTTTTAACATTTTAAAATTCTTTGTTGCACTTATATGATTATTTGAAATTTATTAATTATAAATTCCAATTTCTGGTCTTTGTGAAATATTAGTTCTAGATTTCTTACTTTATGTCTTTAATGATAATTTTTCTGCAGCTTAATGTGCGAAAATACTAGGTGTGTTTGAGTTTTATTTTCAAAAGAATTGTTATATATATATATATATAACAATTCATATATATATATATATTATATATATATATATAACCCTATTTCGTGTATATATATACGTATATACACATTTAGTACGGCCGATTGCAATAAAAAAGAGTGTTGATCAACTAGATGTTACAATAGTCCCTTATACAAAATTTCAACATTTTACAGTTAATTATTGAGTTATGCGAGATACATACTATATACTTACGTTCGTACAGACGTCAAGGAAAAAATCCCTTCTGAGTCCATTTTAAGTTCATTTTACAATCCGTTTTGGAAAAAGAGTCCTTTATTCTGTTTGTATGCACAGTTGACAGTTGAGAGCAGAATCTGGACACCCGTGCGGCTTACTTAGACTCTTCGGGTCTAGTCCAGATGACACGCAAAAAAAATCGTCCAATTCGATTCGGGAGTGGTCAAAATGAGTATTTTCATTCAAATAAGATTCCCAAAATTTTTCACGATTGCAATGCTTCCTTTACTTCGTGCAAGGAAATAAAAGTTAACATTAAAAAATTGAAGGGAAGGAAAGAAAAAAAAAAAAAAAAGCTTTTTCTTTTTAATTGCTTGTAGTTATCAAGTTGAAATAAAAATTAGTAATATAAGAAGATTAAGAAAAAGAAGTACCTTATGGATTTGTTCCTTTAAATGTGTAGATCATTTATTTCTTTAAAATGCAAATTCGCCTTTTTAGATTAATCCAGCTCTAAAAATTCAGACAATATTTATTTTACGAAGCACCTGTAGTATTTATATTCGGAAATCGATACTTTCTTTAAATAGATGAAGAAACGATATTAAAACGTATAATTTTTTTACATGTTGAGATCTTTTGTCAGCTGCTAACAAAATGATGTTAAGTGCAGATAATGATTTCTTGAAAGGTAGAAACATTAATGATAAAAGTTATGTCATCGCTGAACTAGTATTATGAACAGTCTGAAAGAATCAAAATATTCTGTATAACTTGATGTACTATTTACTTATTAAATAGTATGCTCTGAATCATTGCGAACAACTTAACGGTATTTAAAAGAAAACTTACCGGCTAATTTATCTCCAAATTTCAACTTATCGTCTACTGGAGCATCTGTTGTTTTATGCCATACATCTTCTGCCTTCTTTTTGCTACCTTGGGACAATTTTTCCTTTTTCTGCGTGGTTTCAGTCGTAATTTCCATATGCTCATCTTCAGGAAAAGGTAAGGGAGGTAAAGTATAAGGTTCAATCTTTTCTGGTTTACTAACACCGTACCATCCATTAAAATCCTCTTCTTTGTAGTGATTGATACGTGTTCGATTAGTTTTTCGTCTGAAGGGGAAAAATAAATAAATAAATAAGGATTAAAAGTTTTGTTTTAAATATTTTATTTTCGTAATTTATTTCCACTATGAAAATAAGATAACTTTATAATTCTATAGGTGTGAATTTTTCACTGAAATTTGCTTTCAGTATTGCAAAATAGATATTTTCAGCAAGCAAAGGTTTTGGTAGGCATAGGGCTCTAAGAATTATCAGATAAGTCTATGATTACTCAGTTATCTAGACCTAGAGCAATTCTAAGAAATATTCCTATGAGTCTTCATCGGAAAATTAGTGAAATTTTGGCAGCAGAAGGAATTTTGAATACAAATTACGCAAAAAATAGGAAGCACTTCCGCAAAGAACCCGTAATGTAAACATCGCCAACTTTGGCGATAATAGTTCAAACTTGGTAGAATTTAAAAGTGAAATTAAAATCAAAGATAAATTCAACTGTACAATCAAAAAGGAAATGTTGTCCATAAATATATTACAATAATTAATGATAAAATAAACATTTAAAATATCCATATAATAAATATATGCAATTAGTGTAATTAATTTAAATATCTGCATTTAAAATGATCTAACTTGGACCATATTTGCAATTTTTGTAATGTTATTAAATGTGGACTTTAAGTTAAATTTTTAGCAACATACATCAGTTGGGTTTGGTTTGCTTAAATTATAGAAAAGCATGGGAGAGATATCTGCCTAAGAAGAAAAGTTGCCTTCAAGGAGGTCTTTCTGAAGGGAACTGGTTCCATGTTACATATTGGGAATACCATGAGAAAAATCCTACAACTTGCCCATTAGCTTGGCTAACCAAACTACCAGACTTCAGTCACTTTACTGTTTGGCTTCTGATGAGCTGCATTATCATTTGCAAAACAGTGAATAACAAATAATATGTTCCTTGGTTCTTGCTATGAGTTACATGTAAGAAAGCAAGTCTTAATAAAACTTAATATGCCAAATTTAGATTGAATATGTTGGTTTTATTTATGCAATACATGAACATATACATAAAATTTTAAAAAATGAGTCAGAGCAGAATATAATTTATTACTAAAAAAAACTTTTATGTAATCAGGTAGTTGCAATTAAGTTTTTTTTAATGAGAATATATATTGATTTCATTAGTGTCATGATAATGGATTTTCAGTCATAATTTTGGAAGTACTTTGAAATCATGCAATGAAGATATTAATCGTAAAATTGGCTTCTTGATTTTTATACTTTCACAATTTCTTTAGAAACTGCACTGTTAAAAAGAGGTATATTTTGGAATTTTATAGTACTGAAAGATATTCAAAGACGATCTGAATTTTACTGTTTTTTCCATTAAGTAGTTAACTTTGCCAAGAAAAAGGATCATTATTACAAAACTCATTATTACATGATTAATTTCATACCTTTAGGCTTTATATATTGTTTTCTGTGCTAACTTGAATTCAAATTTGCTTTCGTATATCACGTTTAACCGGTTAATTTTGAATTTTCACTTCCATATGTTTAATATATTGTTTTCTCTGCTAACTTGAATTTATGTTACTTATTCTTTAATTAATATGCTTAATATATTGTTTTCTCTTCTAACTTGAATTTGTGTTACTTATTGTTTAATTAATATGCTTAATATATTGTTTTCTGTGCTAACTTCAATTTATGTTACTTATTCTTTAATTATTTTGATTATATACACTAAATATCACGTTTACGCGGCTTACTTCCACGTGTTTTAATATCTGATAACCGTATGGCCGATCATTCTCGTCATCGATCAACCGTTGGTGAACTTGGCGAGTAAAACTGCAACGGCGCCAACGGGTTCTTTCCCGAGGCGCCAACGAGTTCTTTGCGAATGAAAATGCAAAAAATATAATAAAATGTCGAAATTACGTCTTCGGTTCATATATCTGTATCTTAAACTATCACGGCTGACCGCCAGTTATATCGCGGAACTGCGATAGATGTCACCATCAGTAAAAAATCATCTGGTAGTGTTCCCAACAGCATATTGTTGTAATATAGCAATGTGATTGTCATTTTTTTTTAAACAGCAACTGAATATTTTATGATCTTTTCCATTACCAAGGTGGAAATTAAAAGCTGAAGATCAAATAAGCAAAGACTTTGCTCTTGAAAGCAGCTGTTTTGAGCAAAATTGGGGTATTGGTTTATCAAGATTAAAATTTATTAACTTTTAATAAATATTAAAGAAATATAAAAATTTATCTTAAGTGTTTCTGTTTAAATTATTATTACGATGAGGGTAAAATTTTGCAGATTTTGGATAGTGGTTTATGAGCTGCGACTGATAGCCATCATCATTTACCTTAAATTATTTATCAGAATAATAATAGATGGCGGCACCAGTTACAAAGTCATAATTCCTTGAAAAATTAATGATTTTTACCTTAAACTTGAGGAGCGAAAAGATCAAGAATAAAATAATTAAAAGTGCCTGCCCAGGTTCGAGGACTATTAAATTACACTAGAGTTCATACTATATTAAAATATTGCGTTAATGATAACTTTATCCCATTTTTCAAGTTTTTACTAGCTATACTGGAATATGAAAATTTAAATGTAGGTTAGATGTTTTGTAGCTTTCGATTTCAGATTCGGATATTACTGAAAACACTCGAAATTTTTTTAACTTTCACAGCAGTATATGATACTATTAAATATTCTTCTATAATTATACCATGAGCATTGGCAAGTATAAAGCGAAGAAAGAATGCCAAAAGTGTGTGTGCCTGCTGTACGATATGGTTATGAAATGACTGAGATTAGTGTGTATTCATTCAAGAATATTATTAGCCCAGAAGGGCTATAATTTCGTTTTGGTATTTTGCGTTGATTCAATATAAATGTTGGTTCAGTTTTCAAATTGTTACCACCAAATATTAGAGCCCTGCATTATATTTAAAGAAATTAAATAATGAAGAATCTGCATACAGTGTCTCACAAAAGTGATGGGACACTTGTGCTTTATGAAAGGAAACTGTGGTAAAATAAATTTTAAAAAAATGTAAAAATTTTTTGTGGGTGTGTTTCATACTTAAATTTAGTAACAATTATTACATAACATACATTTTCTCAAAATATTAAAATAGTAATTTAATAAAAATACAATTGTTTAGAACGGAGCAAAAAATGGCTCACATAAGTAATGGGACACTTACTTTTCCATCAAATATTATCCAAAATTTTACTTCTTAAAATGTTTTAATATTTTGTTGGATTTCCTTTTACTTTTAAAACGTGATTTAATCTGCTTGGGATGGATTCGACTAATTTTTTTGTGATTTCTGGAGTGATTTTACCCCATTCTTCTTGAAGCAATGATTTTAATTGTTGTTTTCAAGAAATGGTGTGTTTGCGAATTCTTGATTTCAATTATTGCCAAATATTCTCTATGGGATTTAAGTCTGGAGATTGTGGTGGTGTTTTTATTATTTCAGGACAGTTATACAGCAGCCAGAGTCTAACGTTCAAAGCAGTGTGCTTGGGGTCATTGTCCTGGTAGAATTTAAAATCGTTATGAAAGGTCAATTTTCGAGCTGAAGACTTCAAATTTTGATTTAAAATGTCAATATACTTGTACTGATTTATTATACTGTGAATAAAAACAAGATTACCAACTCCAGCGGACGACATACACCCCCATACCATAACTCCTCCTCCACCATGTTTTATTGTTGGCACCAAGTTCTGTTTGCGAAATTCTTTCCTGGTTTTTCTCCACTCCAAGATTCTACCGTCAGAACCAAATATATTAAATTTACTCTCATCAGCAAATATAACTTCATTCCAGTAATCAGAGTTCTTATTTATGTTGGATTTTGCGAAAGCCAGTCCGAGTTTTCTATTCTTTTCACTTACGAAGAATTTTTTCCTGGCTCCTCTACCGTGATATCCAGCAGATCGAATTACTCTTCTAATAGTCTCAGGTTTAACAATTACTCCATATAATGCTTGTAAATCAGCAGCAACTTTAGGAGCACTCATTCTTGGATTTTTTTTTAATATTTCGAACGATAATTCGCTTTATTCCATTGGATAGCTTTGATGGTCGGCCAGGTCTTCTTTTATCCTGAATCATATGATTCTTTTTATATCGTTTAATGATATTGAAAACTGTTGAATGACTCAAGTTAACTGTTTCAGCAGTTTTTCTAATAGATTTTCCACGTTCAATATGCAAATTAATAACCAATTTTCAAATTTCAAGCAAAGTTTCTTTTCGTTTAGCATTCATGGCTGCACAGAGCTAAAAGACACAAAATTTCCAAAACAAACTGGAGAGAAATACTGCAGACGATTTTATAAATTATTGCTAATTGCTTTTGAAAAATAAAAACCCAAAAAATATTTTATTGTAGTACGTAGTAGTATCTAATGGTGTTCCATCACTATGTGAGCCATTTTTTGCTCCGTTCTAAACAATTGTATTTTTTAAAATTATTTTTAATATTTTAGAAATGTATGTTATGTAATAATTGTTACTAAATTTAGTATGAAACACACCCAAAAAAATTTTACATGTTTTTTTAATTTATTTTATTACAATTTCCTTTTGTAAAGCACAAGTGTCCCATCACTTTTGTGAGACACTGTATGTATGTTTTTCGCATTGTGATAAAACAACGCTACCTAGAGCCATCCAATTTTCAACAACGTAAGTTTCCACTAATATAGGCATCTGGAAGCCTTAATTTGGAATTTGGAAGTTGTTTTGTTATCGATTTCATATTTTAACACTTTAATGAATTTTTGATTAACAAACTCAAAGATTTCAAAGCGAGCAATGACAACACTGTGCGGAGGGGAGGGGGGAAACATTTTTATCTCCAGCACGCAAGACTGTGTAACAGAAATTCCAAAGATATGCTCATTTTAAAATTATTTTCGATACTGCTGTTGAATTGAATTTTATGGTTTAAGTGCAAAGAACATGATATTTAATAAATAAAGGTACCACGCAAAACGTTAAAAAAAGT